GCCCTTGAGCTTGAACGTCTTCCGCACGTTGTTCTCCAACAGAGTCTGGGCCTTCTCCCACGGGATCACTTCCGACAAGTAGAAGAACACCTGGGACAAAATGTTGTTCGTGTGCCGGCCTAGCCCGTTGCTTCGCGCCACCCGCTCGGCGTCGATGAAGTACAACTGCACCTGCTTCTCCGCGATTTGGTGCAGGACGGAAACTATCAAATGCAAATATGTCTGGGTCTGGAAGAGTGCGAACCGAACTTTTGATGCGTATTTGACAACGCACACAAATCTCTGATGCATAAGCAGCAAAAGATGCCCACTTCCCGCCACCAAAGAGGGGGATTTGTCATGCGGAGCAGGCCTCGCGGAACCTTCTCGAAATCTGTGATGCTAGGGCTTCCATGGCTGACCTTCTTTATCATGCAAAAACAGCATGACGAACATCTGCACTCTTCCAGACCCAGACATATTTGCATTTGATAGAAACCGGCAAAACCTTCTCCGCGTCCTCCGGCGTCTTGCCCTTCTGGTTGAAAACCACCACCCCGTTCGGGCGGATATCAAATGCAAAAATGTCTGGGTCTGGAAACTTGTAATGCTCGGTTGGGAATAGTGAATGCTGTGTAATGCACAGCCAAGCATGAGAGATATCTGTGCTGCTTAGTGTTGCGCTGCCCGCATGACAAACTGCGTCTTTGCATGACAGGCAAAAGGCTCTCTTCTTGGTCACGCATCACAAATACTTCAGTCATGCCAGACTGACAAGCATGACAAACCTTGCATTCTTCCAGACCCAGACATATTTGCAATCCATAGCGGACGGTCTCGAGCAAAGACGTGTTGAATTTCCGCGGCCAGGTGGTCTCGGAGATCCCCACGTAGTCCGCCTTCTGGATCTGGTACGGGGACTCGAACCGGGTGGGGCCGAACCGCAGATGGGAAATGGTACAACCCCCCGCTTTCTTGGAATCGTACGCAAAGTAACCCTGCACGAACATCTCGGTGTTTTCCCCGATCAATTTGATCGCCGCCTTGTTCGCGGACACCGTGCCGTCGCTGCCCATCCCCCAGAAAACGCATTGTCTCGTCCCCGGCGGGCAGGTGTCGGGTTCGGGGCCCTGGACTAAGGACCGGAAGGTCACGTCGTCGTCGATACCCACGGTAAAGGAGTTCTTGGGCGCGGCGGCCTGTGCGTTGTCGTACACCGCGGCCACCATTCCTGGGGTGAATTCGCGGGACCCGAGGCCGTACCGGCCGCCGAGCAGCTGGATGTTGTTTTTCGACGCTTGGAGCGAAGTCGCGACGTCCATGTACAGCGGCTCCCCGACGGAGCCGGACTCCTTCGTGCGGTCGAGGACGGATATCGTCTTCACGGTCCGCGGGAGGGACGACATAAACGCTTGCGCGTCCCACGGGCGGTAGAGTTTAACGTGCAGGACGCCGTACTTTTTTCCCAAGCACTCCGCGGACTGGAGGTACTCATCGACCACGCAGGCACTGATGATGGTAATATTCGAGGACTTGCATTCATGAGCTTTGCGATTTATTTTTCATGTAGCTTATCCTATGTATTTGCGTACAGGACACGAAGATTTTCATTTTGATTTCACTTCTCATAGATGCGTGACAAAGCCAAGCAAATTTTCCTTATAGATACCCGCTCCCCATAATCACCACGACGTGCTCCGCATCCGGCACGCCCTTGTAGGTGAAGATTTTGTACTGCCTTCCCGTGATAAACCCGACATCGTTCATCACATCTTGGACCATGCCGGGCGTTCGGTCGTAGTACTTGTTCGCCGCCTCGCTGTTCTGGAAGAACGTGTCCGCGAACTGGCCCAACTGCCGCGAATGCGGGCGGTTGGGGTTCAACCCCCGCTGCCGGAACGCCTGCAGCTCCTCGTGCGGGACCAGCTGCGCCATCGCTATGCAAGAAAAAACCTGTGTAAGTGTAACTCTGTAATGCCGAACATGCAACGCGATGGAGTCCTCTTTGTCTTTTCACGTGTGTTTTGTTTAGTTTTCCCTTACAAGCCACGCATGACAGATTTTCTCTGTCATGTAGAGGAAATTTGTGATGCTGTCAGCCAACGAAAGTTACACTAACGCAGTTTTTCTCTTGCATAATCGCCTCGTAGGGAATAATCGCGGGCTTCGACAGCTCGTGGGAGGTCCGGAACCCGTATGGATTGTAAAAATGTCTGGGTCTGGAAGGTTGGAACTTGTAATGCTAGCTTTCCATACCTAGAAAATCTGTATTGCATAACCAACAAAAGTCGCAGCCTCTTTTGTCATGCAAAAACGCAGTTTCTCATGCGGATTGCCTACGAGAAAGCGTTTTAGGAAGTTGTCATGCCGGACTGCATTCGGAAGTGTTTTCATCATGCACATTTTGGCATCACAAGTTTCCAGACCCAGACATTTTTGCATTTCATAACCCGTCGAAGAAGTTCATGAAGGGGATGGAGGTTTTCAGCGTGGCCACGTGGGACACCTATCCTGAGTAAAAACGTCCCCACCCCTTAGCCAAGTTGGTAAATCTGCAACACAAATCTCCCAGTTTTGGGAACTATGCATGACAAGTTTCCGTCTGTATTGTAGTGCTGCTTAGCAAGGACAGCCGCATCACAAAGACGCCTGCTCATCCTGTTTGAGTACAGCATTACAAATCCCAGAACACGACTACAAAGTCTTCTCTTGCGGATGGGCATTACAGATTTTTCTGTAGATGAAAATCTGCATGGGGACGTTTTTAAATAGGATAACACCAGTGCCATGTCCATCGCCTGTTGCACGTTGTTCCCGCAGAGCAGCGCAAACCCGGTCTGGCGCGTCGCCATCACGTCGGTCTGGTCCCCGAAAATGCACAGGGCGTGCTTCGTCACCGCTCGGGCCGCCACGTGGAACACGCAGGGGTTGAGCGCGCCGGCCAGGATGTACATGGTCGGGACCATCAATAGTAATCCCTGGGAACTGGTAAACGTGGTCACACAACTCCCGACCTCCACCACCCCGTGGCACGCGCCCGCGGCGCCCGCTTCGGACTGCATCTGGGTCACCTCGCAAATTTCCCCGAACAAATTCTTCCGGCCCGCGCCCGCCCAGTTCGCGACGCAGTCCCCCATATCAAATGTAAAAATGTCTGGGTCTGGAAGAATGAGCGATTTGTCATGCAGCTTTTCCATGACCCATGAGGTCTGGAATGCAGGACCTAGCATGACAGATTCTGTGCGACCTCTCTCATGCCTATCCTGCATGAGGAACCCCCTCCCGACTTGGTCAAAACTGGATGACTTTTGGTAAGCATGCATCACAGATTCTTGCTTGTTTCAGATTTAGCATGACAAGTTGCATTCTTCCAGACCCAGACACTTTTATATTTGATACCCCATGGGCGTCGCGGGCGTGATCGGGTAGATGAAGGCTTGGTCGCTATCATATGTAAAAACGTCCCCACGACCCCATAGTCAAGTTGGGAACTTAGCAACACAAATCCAGAAGTTTTGGGAGCCACGCATGACAAGTTCTTGCAGGCCGTAGTGTAGTGCATGTTAGCAAGGACAATCGCATCACAAATCCATCTGCTTGTCCTGTTTACAGCATCACAAATTCCAAAACCCGATTGGTAATTCCTGGCATGGAGGACATGCGCATTACAAATCTTCCTGTCATCGCAAATCTGCGTGACAACTCTGGGGTGGGGACGTTTTTACACAGGATAGTCGCTCCAGGCGTAGGCCACGTACGCCGCCGCCATGGCGCCATCGTTAGGAGCCCGGGTCTATCAAATGCAAATATGTCTGGGTCTGGAAACTTGTGATGCTAAAATGTGGATGATGGAAACAGTTCCGCATGCAACCCAGCATGACAACTTTCCAGAACGCTTTCTCATAGGCAATCCGCATGAGAAACTGCGTTTTTGTGTGTACCAAAGAGGCTGCGACTTTTGTTGGGTATGCAATACAGATTCTCTAGGTATGGAAAGCTAGCATTACAAGTTCCAACCTTCCAGACCCAGACATATTTGCAATCCATAGGGTCTGCGGGTACTTTTTGTAGACGGCCTGCCGCTTCCAGGAGGGAATGACCGGCTCGGCCGGGGCGACGGCGGCGGTCAGGCCGATGTTCCGGGTCTGATCCTTCTTCCCGGTGGACGCAAAACCACGGCCGCTTCTCCGGAGGAAGAGACTCCTCCCTTGAAGAGCCGTGGCCTGCTGGCGTAAAAACGTGGGATACGTCATGGCACACTAGGTACGTGCGATGATCGCAACGGTCGCGAAACTCAACTTCAGCAAAACATTTTTTACATCAGTTTCTTTGTATCAAGAAGAAACAGAACCTGGAGCGATAAACGCACTCCAGTTCTGGGAACAAAGTTAAGAAAAGACTCGAAGTAGAATTTTTTTCTTATATTTACACGATTTTTACCCTCCGCTTCCTATTCTTTTCAAATTGAAAAATTCTTCATGGTGCCTCGGTACTCCAGGCAAGAAATTTCTTGCACGTGACTCCGCGCAAGCTGAGGAAGCAAAATTCTCTTCGAAATCAAAACAATAAGTCACGACATCCTACAAAACGGAAACTTCCGTCGGGGTGACGCGCCGTACTAGTGAAACTGATTTCTTACTTGGCCTACTAGATGGAAATCAATTAGTAGGGGGCTGCGGCTACCATCAAAACTCTACACAAAAAAGGGGGCATGAATCTGTGTTGGCATTTTTTCGCGGAATGGGAAAAATTTGTTTACGACTTGACGTCTCTCGAAAAAGTAAAAGATGATTGCACAAACGTTTTTTGTTGTCTCTCGGTCTCTCGCGTAATCTTCGTAATGAGCAGATTGCTATCGCTCGACAGTGTCGTGACATACGGTTGCAGCTGCGGTACTACAGGTGCGAAGGTTGCACTGCTTGACACGAAAAACATCACTTCTTTATGCGGATGCGGAACATCATTTTGATGGGTGTGCTGTCTTCTGATAGCAGACAACATCTCGAATGGAAAATCGGGGCGACACGACAAGGCAATAACGCAACGTGCCGCTGAGCCGCGCCTTTTATTTTTTGTACGCGTGTTCATTCCCGTTGCGTCTGCGCTCAAAAATTCATACCCCGGTAACATTTTTTCTCGTGACATAATTATTGCAAAACCTAGTGTTTTTTGATTTCTTAGAAAATCTTGTCGAATTCCGGAAATTTTTTCTTGTCGTGTGTCATCTCAGTAACCTTATGCAGCCTCAGGAGATCTATATCATCCCGCTCGCCTAGCTTCGTCAGGTTCTCGCCTTTTGCTGCACCTGTGAGAAGAAGTTTTAGTACATCAGACATGAAATTACATATCAACCGACTTCGAGTCATTTTTTACTTTTTCCGCATGGAAGACAGGACGGTATACAAACATCCGTTGATGCACAGCAGCAAAAGAAGTCGTGGTACCTCCGTCCTCTCCTATTGTAATGATGGCTTCGATGACGGACGACTCGCTGAGGCCTTCCATGTCAGATGAATCTGCGTCCACGGCATACTGTAATAATTTCGTGATTTGCTTGACAGTGGCTCCGCTCCCACTTTGCGATGATCTCATGCATCTTCACAACCACTTTTCCATAAAGAATTCTAAACCCATATAATAAATTACCTTCACTCCGTCGTGCGTTTCCAGTACAACTTTGCTATCCGATTTTTCCACAAAACACCCAACAACCCGAACTCGGTCACCCGGTTCGTAATCCAAACCAGCCATTTTTCCGGTTACCCGAGGTGCGGAGGTTGCCATATTTTTGTTTTGAAAGAGCGATCTTAAAGAGATACGACTAAGGCTTGCCAGCCAACTCAAAACTGTTCTATCTGCTTGCACTCAGAGGCTGTTTTGATTTGTGCAAGTTGTAGCGGATCGCATGCACATTCGCGCTTTGCATCGCTTTGGTGCTGCTTTTCTGTATCCTCAGCATTATCATTCGCGCATCTCAGCATCATCAAGCTCGCGGCTGCTTCAACTGTATTCGTCATCATGTTTGCAGTCACTTGAACTGAGAACACTCTCGAAACCAGCACTTGGCGTCACAACAAACTTCTGGACGAAGAAACCGTTCAAGATCTTTGAAACGCGGATGTGGCGAGCCGCGCCTGACTTAGATACACAATGGCGGAAAATCCCTATGGTCCTCCTATGCCCGATTCAAAACGCAGTGAAGTGCGTATCATACAAATGAAATACTTGTTTTGCCGCATGTTAACTTTCAACCACAAAAATGAAAACGCTGCTTTCAACGTCGACCAAAAATAATGTCTCAAGTGTTAAGTACAGTGAAATACTAGAAAAGTGAAAGGCTGTCAATCTTGGATGCCACCTACTAGATTCGGTGTGATATTAGATGCTCTTCAGTCATCGTGTCTGGCATGCAAATCATAACAACCGGCGTGAATGTGACTGCTAAATCTTACAAATACAACTGTGTCTATCTAATACTTTCTGTCAAATTATCAACAAATGCTCCTACAACTGGAAAGCGCTTGAGTCTGATTCTGAAATGATGAAACTGACAAATGCTAGTAGTATCTGCTAAAAACATAATATCATACCTGCTTGAAAAAAACCACAGTACCTTACTTTTGATTCTTCGAATCCGCCCGACTAGTTCTGCCACTGCTCTCCGCCGGCCACTCACTCACCGACGCCGCCGTCGTTCCGGTTCTTTTCACGATGCTGGTCTGCCGCTTCTTCGGAATTGCCGTGGCCAAAACCCGCGACGCGGTCTTCACCCTCCTCTGCTTCGGTAACACTGGTGGCGGGCCTTGCCCCGGCACAACAAGTCCAGCTTTATTTCTGCTACCACTGGAAATAAACGTCGACGCACAAGCATGGTCCAGGTCGATTGTGATTTGCGACGACTGCGTCGAGAGTTGCTTCGAATGAGGAACAACCTCTTGCTCTTTAAAAGAAGACGACATGAGAACGCTGTCCTCCGCCCGCTGGAAAATTGCCTCCGTCGCGATCTCCACAGTTATCCAAGAAAAAAACATTGTAGGTGTAACTTTTTTGGTTTTGGAGGAACAGCATTACAAATTTGTCTGGCATGACAGCAAAAACCTGTCATGCGCAGATAGTATGTGAAAACGCCCTTTAATGGACCCTGCGATGCATGCCAAGCATGACAGACGCAATCATCTTGCATGTTGCGCATCACAAATTTACACTAACAACGTGTTTTTCTTGGATAACAGTGGCCTGCAGGCTACTGGTAGTCGACGGCGGCGCGTCTTTCTGACCGTCGACCTTTTTGCTCGTCGACGAGGAGTATCAAATGCAAAAACGTCTGGGTCTAGAAACTTGTGATGCTGGGTGGCGTATCATGAGGAGGCCACAAGTGCTGGCTCAGCATGACAAGTTTCTGAGCCTCTAGGTGTTGCCTATTCGGCATGACAAACTGCGTTTCTGCATGACAGAAAAGTGGCGCTCTTGGGTAACGTGCATGACAGATTTGAGAGTCATGCCAGACAAGCATGACAAACATGCACTCTTCCAGACCCAGACATTTTTACGTTTGATAAGGAGGACCGGGTTGCCCAGGCGGGCTTCGCTTTCGGCGCGGATGGAAATAATTCCTCTGTAGCAGTGGCTTCGACGTTCAATGTTTGTTCCTGAACTTCATTTGCTGCTGCACTTTCGACAGGAATGTCTTCCTCCGTCCGATGCGTCCTCGCAGACTGTGCGTCTTCGAACGAGCCGAGGTTTGCTTCGGAGGCACTATGTGGTCCACCTCTCAACCACTTCTTCGAGATGTTCTTCGTCGCAGCAGCGCCGCTTTCCGCCCCGGTGCCGCCGTCTTGCATTAGCTCGGATTCGCTGCAGACCGCGGTAGCGACGGTGCCTTCCTCCACTTCGGATGGGTTATTTTGGCTCGCGGAGATAGAAGACGCGCTGTGGGTCTGTTGTGGTTCTACATCTACTCCCGAAGCAGATGCAGCAGCGCCAGGTGTGTGCTCCTCTTTTGCCGCGTCCTGGGGCTGCTCGTCTGCAACAAGAAGATCTGGTGACCTCCCCAGAGGTTGTTCCGGTCGTGGCATTCGCATTTCTTCGTTTTTAACACTCGCGGAAAACACGATCGGAGCTGCTGGCTCTTCTACAGCACCATTTTTCCCGGAACAATCCTTTTGTTCTTCCACAGCGAGGACAGCAGGCCGAGACTCAACACACTCCGCAGTCTCCGGCGTTGACACAACTGCGGCACTTTCCTCGACTCCTTGCTCCGAAGCAGACGATGATGCGGAGTTTTTCGTTGCCACAGCAGGCCCAGTTCCCGCGATCATCGCCACGACGCTCTGCTTCGCCGCCTTCATTGCCTCTGCCAACTTCGTGTTCTGAAACTGCGGCCCCTCCGCCATTCTCCGCTCACACAAAATAGCTGCCGCGTGCGCCCGCAGCGAATCTACGCCCGCTTTCATTGAGAGGAAAAATCCCCCCTCCCCATATCAAAACGAAATTTCTGATGCTGGCTCTGTGTACACAAATCGGCTTTGTAAAGCAGGAAGGCACTGCGGCCAGATCCCCAGGCTAGGTAGGGGCGTATGGGTCTAGTTGTTCAGCATGGCAAACGGCTCCGCTTTAAGCCCAACAGCATGGCAAACCGCTTCCATAATGGGGCGGAAGCTTCTGCCCTTGTCTTCTTGCAAGACGCATGTGATTTGTGACCTCAAATCAGCAACACAAATTTTCGGAAACATAGCTTTTCAATATGGGGAGGGGGGATTTTTCATTTTGATAGCTTTCTTGAATTCCGACACCGTCCACGGAGCTGCTTCGTCCTCCGTCGTGCTGGAGTGAGGACCACCAGCCGTTTGTTGTTGTTCCCGCGCTATACCCGCCGGCAAGGTACAATTCACATGGGGTCTCGCCGTGGAGGAAGCGGACGACCGGGCGGAAACAAGTTCTCGTGTCGTCGACGGGCCTGGAGGTGGCTTCCGGGTGTAGTTTATCGCTGTTGAATTCAAGTGCTGCGCTTGGCTGTTCACGTCCGCAATCATGGACTCGATTAAAGACTCGTTGTAGAACAGATGTGCCTGTGGAGACACCACCTTCTCCGTGTAAAACAAACTCTTCATGGCCTCGGTTTTCGCCGTGGCCGCCACCTTCTTCGGCGTGGTCTTGACTTTCAGCGGCTCCTTCGCACCTCCAGCAGGTCCTCCTTTCGCAGCAACGCCACCCGGAGACGGCTTCCTTGCTGCCTTCTCCGCCGACCCTGGGGGCTTCTTCGCCGCCGGCGCTGCTGCTTTACCGCTTGCGACCTTCTTTGCACCCGCTTTCTTCGCTGCGGCCTTCTTCTTCGGCGCGGCGGCAGTGGCTGCTTCGCCGCCGTTATCCGGGAGTTGGTAGGTCTGCTCGTCCTCTTCCTCAATTGCCGGGACCGCTGGTTCCTTGCTGGCGTCGCTGGGCTTGGTGGGAGACCTTTGATAGATTTCATTTTCACCCAAGTAACTCAAGAAATTCGCATCTTCAATGCGGTAGTACACAAGCTGAGAATGAATAGGAATGATCCGCAACACACAAAACGCATGAAATGGATCAATTCTATGACTTTATCCTGTACTCTGAATCCTCCCCTGTCAGCTGGTCATCCACGTCGACCGCCGCTTGCGAGATTTCTCCCTTCGCGTAGTCCGCCTCGTCCGCCCCGGTGTCGATCGTGACCGCTTTTGTGGTGCCAGCGACAGCCTGATCGCCTGCGTTTTCCCCTTCCGGCTGTTTCAACCGGAACGAGCGCGTCGTCGGGTTCGCCGCCTTCTGCAACGCCTCCAAGTCCCTCAAGGTCGGCACTTTGCCCGCACCGAGAATACCCCCCTTCTCCACGTACGCGAATTATGGATGTGTCAGGATCGAAATTGACACAATCGAAATAATTTGTCATGCATAAAATGGATTCCAGTTCGGCCCCAGTTTCTAAGTGGCGCATGCCAAATTCTGGTGGTGCCTAAATCCAGTTTGTAATGCTGCTTAGGCAAAGAAGACTGATTCTCTCATGCTGCTTTAGCAGCTCGAGCTCTAGTCCCAAACAGGCTTACAATCGGACTCACTTGCCTGCTCTGCAGCACACGTATTTCGCGTCATGCATTTTATGCATCACAAATTTTTCGACTTTGTCGATTTCGATTCTGACACTTCCATACGAATTTGGGCTTCCGTAGCCCGTCCTCCGCGTACATGGCCGCGGCGGACGAGGTATGCTGTGCAAAAGTATCGCACTCGTAGTAATCGCAGTCATGCAATACAAATCTCCTTCTTAACCTAAATCCGCATTACAAATTCCATTTTCCATGCTGAGGGAATTTGTCATGCATTTTCTACTAGTACGTTACTTTTGCAATGCATACGAGGGCGCCTGGGACCCGGTCTGCGGCACTAGGATCGCCAACGCGTTCACCTGTGCCGCCATCTGCTGCACTTGCTGCTGCACGGAGAAAAGCGCCTTCTGCCAATCCTCGGGCGGAGGGTTTTGCGATTGCTGTTGCTGTTCTTGTGGGGACTGGTACAGAACATGATCCCGCGGTTGGGCGGCTTGAGACTCGGGAGATTGGGTGGCGCGGGACTGTGGTTATTCATATAATGGTACTAGGTGATTCAAGAAAATCACTTTGAAGAAGTTTGCGTGCCGCGTATCATGCAAACCAAACAACAATCTATCACACAAAACTAAAACCCCATACCGGCGTCGAAAACGAGTTCCCGGATCCCGCCAGCCCCGCCGAAAACTTCGGCACCGGCATCACCGTTTCCGCCGCCGGCACCCACTGCTTGGCCGGTGGTGGCAGCCGGATGTCCGCTGGCAGATCCCTCGTTTTGTTCCCCGCAGAGTCTTTGCTGTCGTTTTTCAGTGTGCGAGGCGACTTCACCACTTCGAGCCCCTGGTCCCGAATCTGCTCCGCCAATTCGTTGATACGTCGCGGTGACCCCGCATCGGAAAGCTCCTGCATCATCAACGGGAGTTGTGGCGGATTCGTCATCAGCATGGGCGGCGGCATCAACCGCGGCGTGGAGGACAGCATTTGCAAATACTGCCTCTGCTGATCCAGGGAGCCCGGGCCAATTTTGAACTCGGACAGCTGCACGGTTCCCGGTTGTTGCGGTGGAAGATTTGGGGCCGGAACTGCTGCACCGGGTTGTTTGTTCGGATGAAGCACAGGCTGGACGACTTGAAGATGCCCCGCATTTTGCGCAGCAGCTGCCATCTGTGTCGGGGAGACCGGCTCCGGTAAGTCTGACAGTTTGACTTGCGGTTTATTCATTCCCCCTTGCACAAATTGTTTCGGCCCAGAAGGAGCCGGGGCGGAAATTGTTGTACGAGTGACCCCTGCGGCCGGCCCGGCCTGAAGACCTCCGCTCTCTGTGATTTCCATTCCCATCGGCGGTTCCACCACGGTGAAATACCTGCTTTTCCTGGACGATACGCTCATCATGGTCCTGTTGCTGCTCGCCATTTCCGCAGAAGAACTCGAACTGCGCCCCTGGTTCGGGACGACGACCCCTTGTGCTTGCTCCCCTAGAACTTCAGCTTTATTTCTGCTTCCGGAAGCTCTCGGCGACGACCGCGTCCGTCTTTTCTCGTCTTTGGCCGCTTTCGCCAGAGCCGCCTCCTCCGCGTTGGAAAACAAAAACTTCTCCGCGCCACCGGGCACCCCGTCCATGCGAAATTTGCCGTTCACAATCCGGATCTTCTTCACTTCGTACTCGTCTCCCTCATACGTGGTGGAAGAGATAACTTCCGTGTTGGAAACCGACTCGTATGGAGCGACGTCATCAATGAAATTGTTCAGACTCTTCGTCGCCATCATAGAATGCGCGGGAACGGGGTTCGGAAGGCTGAGCCGGTTCACGGAAATCCGGGAAACGCGCAGAGGACTGCCACGGATGGGGCTTAACCTGATAGGTTTTTGAAAAATCCAGGAAGCACATTTTGGAAAAATCGGACAGAACATTCCTTTTTGCACGCCAGAAACAACGATCCCAGCACTTTGATTTGGGTAAAAGTAAAATTACCTAGGTGTCCCAATCTCCTGCATCGCCAGCACCGTTGGCGCCTCCAGTTTCCTCTGCGTTTGCTGCAACCCGGGCGCCACAGTGGAAACCCTCGTCGGCGGGTTGAAGCTCTTGCTCATGCTGTCGCTGGGGTTCATCGCCCCGGCCTGACCAACCGGCGAGTACGACTGCGGTCTCGGCAAGCCCAAGTCTTCCTGCGGCACAGACTGGATGTTCCCGGCGATCTGTCTCGGGACCGCGACGAAGGACAAGTCCGCTTTTACCTTGTTCGCACTGGTTTTCCTCAGCGACTCCACTTTCTGCTCCATGCGGTCCTGCAACTCCTCCTTCCCGGCGAGTTTCACGTTTTCTTGCGTCAAAAGGTTAAACGGCAGCTTCACTTTCGGCCTCTTCTGCTGCTCCCGCACCTGCTCCTCGTAGTACAGCTGCGCTTCCGACTTCCGCTCCCGGGGCGTGAAGGATCCGAGGCCGCTGCGCTGGAACTTCAGGTCGAACTGTTGCCGGTGTTCCGCGAAGCTCGCCAGCTTCGAGGGTCTCTGCTCCAAGAGAAACGAGGGTACGTCCGCTTTCAGCTTTATCACTTGCCGGGGCGTGGGGTTCTGTTGTATAACCTTCTCAGGTATTACAATCCCAAACGTTACAGCACAATATGGAAATCTGTAATGCAAGAAGTGCATTATCAGGCCAGCTCTCATAGGATTGCGCACGACAAGTTCCGGAGTCCGAAACCGCACTACAATCTGGCGAAATTTGTATTGCAGAAAGTGGAACTCTCTGCGAGTCCGTCAAGCTCATTATGCAATACAAAATCCAGACCCTATTGTAACGTTTGAGATTGTAACTTTTGAGCAGGTCATATGTTGCAGCTCCTCCTTCTGGATTTCCTTCCGCTCCACCGGGTTGCGCAGCTTTCCGCGGACTACTCGGGGCTCGTCATTGTCGTTATAGAACAACCCGATCGGGCCGGCGTTGGAGATGACCAACGGGGCTGCTGGGGGCAGGGAACGAAACGCTTTGTTCGTGTCAAACGTTCTTGGGACATTAAAATCGAACTGCGGAACTTTTGCGAAGGTGAAACTAGGCTGCCGCGCAGCTGGTTGGATGTTGACGAATCTGGTTTGATGTTCTTGTTGGCGCTGCTGGTGTTCCAAGGTGATTTTTCGTTCTTCTTCCTCCAGAAGCTTTTTCGTGACCAAATCCCGGGCAATTTGGTGGTGATCCGCGGCGGCAGACCGCTTTTTCCCTGATTCCGTCACGAAAACGGTCTTGCTGGCCTCGGGGGTATCTGAGTAATATACGAGGTTTTCATTTTTCCCGTTTTAGGCTGCACAGCTCGTCAACTTTTATTCACAAACAAACAAATGAAAAATTTCCTTATACGTCCGATCAAGGCATCCTCTTTGGCCGGAGGCGATCTCTGTTGCTTTTTCGCTACTTGCCGCCGACTCCGCGGTGTGTCCCGCACTGGCGTTGACTTTGCTTTAGGACGGTGACCTGACCTCATTCTATATGTTGTAATCTGTAATTTTACTAATCTATTTTACTACAAAGTACTATTGTGCCCTACACAATTTGCTTCTGAGAGCCCGCACCGCCGACACAAAAAAAAAGAACCAACCGCCTGGAAAACCGAATTCAATAATCAAAAAACTTCATTTGCGAAGGGCGACAGTAACGATTTCCGCACGAGCTTCGTTGCAGTACACCCAAAGAGAAGTCACAGCAGCAGAGACGAAGGAATACACAGCCACAACGAATTTTCAATTTCAAGAGGTTTCACATTCATCAACATTGGAAACGATTTTTTTTTTCACGATCACAACGTGGTGCAACGACAATTAATCATACTTGATTTCACGAACAGTGCACCCTGAGCTTGACGTAGATGTCGAGTTTCATTGCATGAAAATTGACCACGAAATAGAACAGCATAGTAGGACAAGCGAAAACCCCGTGCATCAAAATGCGAAAACGACAAGAGCTCCTGCTGTCTTCCATCGATAGATTCTGTAGCGCTTTTATACTCTTCGTCGTCAGAGAGGCTGATATCGTCGAAATTGTCATTGTCATTAGATGTCAAGCTTTTATTGTTTGCCAAGTCTGTCGCATTCATATTGGGCACAACTCCGCTTCCAGTTGTAGACAGTTGTCCCGCCGTAAGATTACAACTTCGAGCATTGCCCAACGACAGCGACTCCCTTTGCGACAACAAAAAGTCGTCCGCTTCATTCAAGTTTGCGTTCATAAGTGTCAGCAAATCCGCCTCGGAGCTACCTTTGTTCACGGGCGAACTACCCGCACCTCCCGTCGGACTCCCAGTCGTCCCTGTCCCGATCGTGGCACTGCTAACCGTGTTGAGAATTTCCCCGGTTGACGTGGTCACCGTTGTAACGAGATCCCCGGCTGCGGTGGTGACAAGGCCCAACCCGGAGCCGGCTAATTCCAACCCTGCACTTGTCGCAGACCCGGCGAACTCCAGCCCCGCGGTTGTCGCGGTTGCGGTGGTGGAAGTCAGAGTTTCCGCGGCCGTGGCGGTCGCGGACACCACGGTCGAACCGGTAGTGTAGAGGCCCTCGGCGGTCGTGCTCATGAGCTGATACGGTGCGTCCAGGACCGTGTCGAGAAGGGTGGACTCGTCTTCAGTTGCGGATGGAGTTGAGCCGTCTGGGGCACTTGCATTTTCGCTTGCGGAATTTGAATTTGCTTTTGGCGGTAAACAATCTTCGGCATTATTTTCCTCTTTTTGGAGGGAACCAGAAAAGGCAGCTACGTCTTTGCTCGATTTCTTGATGATCTCCGGGCCAGAGGTGGGACTAGATTTGTCGCGTTGTTCTTTCTTATTGCCACTAGTACTACTACCCTTGCTGCTGGGACTACTCGGTCGGGAGGGTGACTGCCTCACCGGTCTTTGCCACTCGGCCTCAACCGCTGGGTCGCAACTACTGGAGGCCGCTTCCTCCTTTGCAATTTTGTCCTCCCCGCGGCCCTCCAAAGGACTTGGCTCGGCAGAAGTTGCGCAACTCCCAGACGAGCCTGTAGTCACATAGGAAAGAAGTCCGGAAAACAGGCCTGCGCTGGATAGAGTATCTGGCTCTTGCTCCCCTCTATCACTCGTGTTCATCTGCTCTGCTGCGATACTGCCTGCGGAAGTATCGGCGCCGTCCGTCCTGCCACTCGCGGATGTTGCGGTATCCAGTTTCGGAATCTCCTTTAGCTCCACGTCTGGCGCTGCAGATCCACCACCCCAGAGACTGCTGATCCAAGACGTGCCGGTTTGTTCGCTTGCCTTCGGTGGAGAATGATTCCTGTCGACGTCAGACTTCAGATAGCTGAACGTATCCGCAGCCTCTGCAGCATAATCGTCTTTGCTCGTGTTATTCCTCATGCGGTGTGGAGTTCCTGCTACTTTTTGCGGCGAACAATTCTTTTCCCCTTCAGACTTTGTTCTTTTGCTCAGGCTCTCTGACGCAGAGGACTTGTCCTGCGCTTCCTTGATCTCCGTACTGAGCACTATCTCGATGTCCTGGTAGTCGGGTTGAAGAACGTCGTCATCAGGAGCTCCTTCTACCCCTGCTGCTCCACCTTCCTGATTGCTTTGACCTCCCCGCCGACTCAAAAACAGATCCCCCACCACTGCCACGCCCTTCGCGCCCGAACGGATCACGGGCTCGACCGGGACTTTTTCTAGCAAAGAGCCCCCGATCGACAGTCCGTAGTCCACGGAGGAGCGGGACACTTGGAACAGGCTCCGGCCAAGCACCCCGAACCAGTACTTGGCGGGCATGGTTTCGGGGACAGCAAGGTCCAGGGCGACCGCCCCGACAGAGTAGCCGGTGTCGGCGGCGGTGAGGAGGCCGACGCGTGCGGTGGTGGAAACCGTGGAGAGAACGAGAGACGAAACGAAACCTGAATTTGGGTTGAAGAATGTTGAAAAAGAAAACTGTCATTGCAAGCGTAATACTGGTGAAGGTCAACTTGAGTCCTTAGATACTTATGCGTGTAAACGACGTCGGGAGCAGAGCATGATTTCATCTCTAACGCAAGCACTCCATACTTACCCGTCGTGCTCGCTACTGTATCGAGAACCGCCACGTGGCTTTCCAGCATCTGCGACAGGGGCCTGACCCGGATGTCATCCTGCGAAGACGCGGAGCTTGACGTTCTGCCATTCTGGTTCTGCAGAATCTCCCGGATTTCTGACAGCACTCGTTTCCGCTTCCTCTGGTACTGCGAATCCAGCTGCTGCAGCCGTTTCGCCCTTCTTTCCTCTCTTTTCCTCTCCTGACAAGCTGTCTCGTCTTCGGCGCTCGCTGCAGGGATGTCTGCGTTATTTCTGCCGTTCGGATTTCCTTCCTTATCTGGCGAGGGCGGTAACACAATCGCCATCCCATCATCTTCCTCGTCGAGACTCGCTAGTGCCTGCGCTTTTGGCGCCACGGCGGGCGAGTTTACTTGTTCCAAAGACCGCGTTGTTGAAAAATCTTCCTGCGAGGAAAATTCTGCTTCGTCGTCGAAATCATCGCCTAAACCATCAGATACAAAAATTTTCTGCTTCCTCTGCGCATGGACCGCCCGGTCGATCTCCGTGATGCGGTTCCACAGCGCCAGCGTCTTCTGCTGCTTTCCGTGGCGCTTCAGCAAGTCGCAAAGCCGGGAGAGGACGATTGACATCTCGTCCGAGACATCGCCAAACTCCTGTTCCACATTCGCGATTTGTTGGACATACGCCTGGAGCTGCAACGCATACAGCTCTGCAGCCTCTTCCACGTCTTCAGGCAGGGCGCTCGAGGAAGCTGCTGCCATCTTGTTTTCCATATAATCTACGTTAAAATTTTCATAGTATACGCACCTTCCCCGCCTGTTGCTACATCAAAGCTTGTTGAGCTTTGTAGGTACTCGCTCCCAGGATGAAACACAGTCAGCTGTGGTCTTGCTCTTGCAGCATAACCGGTACGACCAAGAAGCAAACCAACTCCACGAACACGCTTTCAGTTGCGGCGAGACACCAGTGTGAGTCCATACGTGTGTGTCAGAAAGTGAAAGCATACTCGTCACTAGATGAAGGAATTCGCTTGATAAGAAGCATCTTTTTGCCGCTACAAAGGAGCCACACGACATAAGATATGTTGCAAAAGCATTTCGACAGAAGCTGTGAGACAGCAGCGTTGGAACGAGAGATAGGACAGTCACGACCTTCAGTACATCTGGTGGCTGTACACCGCCGCAGCACCATTTCTCGTCGTGTACACCGCCCCGGGCGGCATCGCAGCCGAGCCCCCACTGGTACGCGGATGTTGATCTCCCGATATCGTTGCTGCGGTGTGCCCCGCCGGTGGTCCTCCAGCAGTTCTGTTCAAAGGCGTTGACGACACGTTGTTGAAATTCTGCGTCTGCACGTTGTTGTAATCGAAGTTGGCGTAAATTTGGTCCAGCTGTGCGGTGCTGTTTATCTGCTGATCCCCGCCTCCTTCGTCGTCTTCCTCCGTCCCGTTCCCGCCGTAGCACTTCTTCCCCAAATTGCTCAGACTTGTGTACATGGAATCCAGCGTGCTGGCAATCCGGGCGAACCGGTGGATCCAGGCGGGGAGGGGGCCGACGCCGAGTTGGATGCAAAATTCGTCGGCGAAGTGGCAGCAGTTCCGGCGGAGCAAGTCGTAGTCGTCGCCCGGCCACTTTTCCACCGCGTTTCCGAGAAGTTCCGCGATGTTCTCGTTCGTCAGCTTACAAAGCCCCACGAAGATGGTTTGCCGGTATCTTTGGTTTTTGATGATCTTTTGTTGCTGGTGCAGAAATTTGTTGCTGGGGCAGAAGTTTGTTGCTGGGGCAGAAATCTTCAAAGTACAACTGCAGCAACATGCGTCTCATAGGGTTATTTGAATGTAGGAAGAGATCCTCCTCTCCTGTAATACAAAAATCCTACCTGTGCTGCGAATGCTGTTTCGGTTCGTTACAGGCGATGCCGCAAGCGGTGTCCGAAAACGTCGCACCGTAACTCCATTCCAACCCGTTAACCTCCACGCCCGCGTGGAATATGCCGCCGAGCTTGATCGGCGATTTTTTGTGGGCGGTGAACCGGTTGAGCCGTTTGATGGAGTCTTCCTGCGACACGTCGTACACGTGAACGAAGACGGGGATTCCGTTCGTCACGTTGCACTCCCAAATTCCGCCCGTGATGTCCGTCCCGTCTCGCGGGAGTTCTCGGTAGATTTTTGGCGGCTTTTTCGGCACGATGGCATTGCCATACTCGTCGTACTGAATGGGTGTAGTCTCAGTAAAATCCGGCTCCCCGGAAGACGCAGATCCGGTGGCGGTAGAGGCCGTTTCTTGGTCATACAAATCCACCCCAAGCTTCGTTGTATTCGAGCTGCGATTCTTTATTCCGGTAGCATTACTAGTAGCATTACCACCGCCACTACTTCCGCGCCACGCACCACCTCCTGGCGGCTGCTCAACCGCACGCATAATGCCGGAGAAGAGGGTGGTACTAGTATTTCCGGGATTTTCGTTTGGTATCTGATCAGCATAATTTCCAGCTTCTTCGCCCGAGGAGCCTGATGTAGCATTTGCGAAATTCCTTTTGTTTGTCCCAGAAAATAACCTCCCGGGCTCACCAACGTAGTCCGGCCGGATGTCGATCTTGTGCTGGTTCGGCAACACGGTTAAGGGTTGTCTTCTCTCGAACTCCCGGGGGTCCAGGTACTGCGTCGCTTCCCCCGCTTCCTCCTCGCTAAATTCGTAGTCGACGTGCTGCAACCTCCGGCTGTAGATTGCGGCTTCGTTCAGCCACGCGAGCGTCAGGATAGTAAGTTGCTCCTCGGAGATCGTCTGCTGGTCTTGCGGGAAACTGTCGGTGACGCACTGTGTATAGTAAATCATGCTATACAGAGTCTTCTCATCTCTTGTCTTTAAAATACCGAGACAACTAGTACAACAACTCCTGTAGTAGGTCATCAAGAAACTTCTGCTTTCAGATTCATACGAGGTTGTCAAAACCTGAAAAGATTTCTCTCGCCTGCCCAGAGCTGCAGACAGCACAACACAACTTACTTCCATACCATACCTGTTGACAGTCCAGCCAGAAGGGCTTAGTGTTTCCACTCGCGATCCCCACCGCGTGCTCCAGTTCCAGCCGCAAACTGCTGTGCGACACCTTGTCGGGCCCGTGCTTGTGCAGAATCCGTTCCCGCAGGATCTCCAGCTCCAGAAACAAACTTTGACTGGTCGGTAGTTTCGCGCCGCGCCGGTGCGCCCAGTGGCCCGATTTGAGCAGGACCGTGCCGATCCCGCGCCAGAAGAGAAAGAAAGGGATTTTTCGGAACTCGGGGGATGCGGAGCTAGTGGCAGTGGCGGCGGTACTACTACGACTACCTTGGGCAGCTTCTTCAACGGCATGATTTGTGGGTGGGTTCGCCGCGGTGGAAGAGGACGACCCGCCGATCTGCTCGTTCGGTGGCTGACGCTGAGTGCGTATGGCACTAGCAGGTGGTAGATCTGCTCCACCGACGTCTTTGTCCGGAGTTGGGTCGCAGTTCTTTGGTACGACGTCCGATGGCTCAGGAATTGCATTTACTTCCTCGAGCAGCTCTATCCTCGAGGGATCTAGTACAACTTCTCCTACTGCTTCATCTGGGTTTATTTTTTGTGACGGTACAACTTCTACTTCTATGCCCTCCGCCAGTGGAGCTCCGGCCTTCGCCGTACTCAGCTCGTTTGGTGCCCCGTCTTCTATAATTCCGTCCTCGGAAGAACTGGTGCTGTCGTCTTGCAGCGAATCGACTGGGGGCGTCATCTCCTGCAGAAACTGCTCCAACGTCAGAAACCCTTCTCCCAGTTGCGTTTCCAGGTAACTGTAGCCACAACCCAAGTAGGCCGCGTCCACTTTCCAACCGCTGTCCGGCTCGCAGGCGGACCAGGCCTCCAACACCATCTCGAGACTCGTAGTGTTGCTGGTCATGTTATCGGAGGAAGACAGGTTGTTCGCCGCGGTCTTCGGGTTAGACGTCATATTCGCAAATAAACTTCCGGACGGTGGGAGGTCGCGGTCTTCGTGGACTTTTAGTAAAAACGGGTCGAACTCGACGTCCTCGTCATCCTCATGTATAGGGGGCGGAAAGAGCGAATAGCTTTCCCGGTAAAAATTACTGCGCTTTGTGTTGAAGCGGACTGACAATGTTGTGCGCGAAAACAAGTGCGAGACAAAGTAAACATGGTATGAAAATGAACAAAGCAGGTATCTTTGATTGGCTAGGGGTCGTACTCGGAGCCGTTCTCGATGCGTAACAAACGATGTCTTTTCCATGGGTCCTGGATAATATTTTTTGCCGCGATAAAGTCTTGGATACTGGACTTTAACCGTTGTCGGCACCATGTAGAACGAACTTTACCCTAAAAATACAGCTGCATCTTTGATGTGTAGTTTTCAATCCGCAAGACGACCGATGAGTCAACTAGGCCTCAGTTTTCACACCAAAGCATAAACGTCGAACGCAACCAAATGGTTATCTCTACGTCATGTCTTTACCGGGCGCGGTCGGCGGAGCTGAAAACTTGTCAAAGAATTGCAATTGCGCTATTTTTTCGTATCATTTTCCGCAGGTAAATCTTACAAGCGCTTTCATCTAGTCATCAAGAAGTTCTTGTGGCCGTCGAAAAATCAGAGCCCACTGAAGACAGTTTTTGTTCAACACACACCAGACACAGGAGCAAAAAACGAGTTCTTTTCGAAGTCAATTACTTAATAAATACTTTCATTGCAAAAAGAAATCAGGAAAAATTTTTGAAATGCAGGCTCCGCTATCATTACACGCACAACAACACAATCTTCAACTTTCCACATTAGTACAGCAAATTCGTATCTTCACAGCTTCGACTGCGGCTTTAGCCCGACCACTGGCCCGCCCGTCTCCTTCGCGACCGCCATGTCGCCCCGCAGAACCGCACTGTTTCCGCTCTTCGAAGTAGAAGTGAAACCCGTTACAGCAGAAGTACTAGAAGTTCTTGCATCATCACTACCTTTTAAATAATTCTTCATTTGAAACTGCAAAACTTCCGCGGCCTGCTTCACCATTCCTTCCACGACCTCCCGCGCGGGTAAAACGTCCTCAATCGCGCCGGCCGCTTGCCCCGCGAGCGAATTCGAGATTTCCAACGCAGACAGCCGGTACTTTTCCATGCCGGTGTCCTCGGATAAGTCCGCGTACACCGGAATCTGCCCGTCCGCCAACAACTTGCGGATCCTTTCCTGGTCTTTCTCCTTCTCCTTCAGGTACGCGTTGGGAATCACCCGCAAGGGTCGCCCCGTCAAGTACAGCGTGCGGATCGTATCTGCCGCTTTCGCTTTCATAATCTTCTCCTTGTGGTGCTTCGGCGCGTGGGACTCCTCCGTGCAGACAAACCGCGTTCCCACCCACACGCCGGACGCCCCCAACGCCAGCATGGAGGCGAGCCCGCGCCCGTCGAACACCCCGCCCGCGCCGACCACGAGCACGTCTGCGGAGTTGTTGTAGTTTCGCCGCTTCCATTTCCGGCACAAATCCACGCACTGCGGGACCAAAACGGAAGAAGCGATGTCCCCGGTGTGACCACCCGCCTCGTGCCCCTGCGCGCAGATCAAATCCGCACCGGCGGCGAGCGCCTTCTCGCAGTTCCGCACCGAGCCAACCATGTTCATCACGAGCACGTTGTGCGCGTGCAACTTTTCGACCGCCCATTTTGGCGGCACCCCGACCGCGCAGATGAATAGTTTCGCCTTGTATTCGCAGATGATGTCGATCAGTTCCGGGAGTTTGCCGTCCGAATAATCGTAGTTTGTCTTCCTCGCGCCGTCGCCGACCTGCGGGATCAGCAAATCTACACCGAAGTTTCGAGGGTCCGTGCCTTTTTCCTTCAACAAGTCGGTCAGCTCTTGCAACTCCTGGCGCAAAGCCTTTGGCTGAAAACTTTGCCCTCCGATGTTCCCGAACCCGCCCGCGTTGGACACTGCAGCAGCCAGCTCGGACGTGGACACGCTGTTCATGCCAGCAAGCAAAATGGGGTGCTGGATCCCCAGCAGATCGCAGAGTTCGGTGCGAAGCATTTTTGTATAGATTCAGGCTCACTGTTGACTTTTGGGGTGCTGTACCGCTAGACAACGAACAGGGTAGAGAAACAGAAAGTATGGCAAAAAAAAGAATATCTGAATCGATCTAGCTCGCGGGGTAGCTGTACTAGATTCTTTCAATTCTTTATTAGTTGTACGTGAAGGATTGACATTTTTGTTCAAGGGTAAAAAACGCACAGTCAATCTCGCTCCTTTCTTTTCAATTTGCAATTCCATTTCAGCTGCCACGCTTTTCTCTCACAAAGAATACGCAGCTCCTGCGGACGAACAAAAACGATCGCCACATCCGTACTAAAAAGCCCAAAGCTCGTGCGCAAAGCTTTGACTTTGTGAAAGCCCGCACGACGTATGGTCGTTTTCTGCTGCTACAAAGAGCAGCTTGTAGTGCCCTTCAATGGATAGGTCGCTTGTCGTTAAAGAAGTGCAAGTGGTCGTGTCGCTTCGGCCTTTCTTGATTTACTAGATGATGACTACACAACTGCTGTTGACATGTTGAAACCATAAAATCTGGGGCATAGTAGAGTAGAGGTCATCCTTTCGCTCCTTGCCAGGCGGGCCTATGAGCAAGGAGTCAAGTCAAGTCTGATAAAACTATGAAAAACTTTCAATTTTTTCTTCCATGCGAAAATCTAAATCGTACAGGAATAGATAGATCTGTCATGCGCTATGGGATGGGGTTCATCTTCGAGCTCGTTCATTCAACTGCAGCTGGGACCAATATGTACTACTTTTTAGTGCAGAAAATAATAGCTTTATTTTCAATAAAAATTGAACTTCAAATGCGACTTGACTTGACAACCTTGTCACGGTCTTAGTGCGCTCCTGCTCGGGTCTTTCGTCGGTCCTCCAGGATGATGAATGTTGATTGTTCACCGGACCGCCCGACGCAGCAGCCCGCACGACTTGACAGTGACAACATCAATGTAGTTCTACTCACATCTTCTGTTTTTTCAACGGGGGTGCAGCCGGGATGTCCGTCGCCAGACTCGGGGTTCGCAACGACGCGTGTACGTTCATGCTCGGCGTCCCCTGGCCGAGGTTCCGCGCGAACTTGGCCAACTGCCGTTGCGCCGACACGCCCTCCTTTTTCGCCGCACTGCTCATCCCACCACCACCGGTGGTCCCGCCGCCGCCCGTTCTGCCGCCGCGCGACGAGGACGCGGCTCCGGAAAAAATGGAGGAGTAGTTGGGCGTCAGGTGCCCGGGTAGTCGGCTCAGCTGCCCGCTGTTCAACGCCCGAATGGCCTTGTCGGAGAGTTGGATGTGCTTCCCGCTGTTCCCAACCGACACGCCGCCACTCGACCGCGCGGACCGGCTGACCACCGACGCCGCGGACGAAGCGTTATTGCCACCGCCGACATGATGTTGATTCGGCGTCCGCCCGCCCTCGCTCATCGGCGTTTGGGAGCCGAAGTTCGTCTCCCCGGGGCCGACCACGTTGACCCCCATGTCGCGCATGTACTGGAGCTGCTTTTCCTTCATCTCGCGCTTCCCGTGCTTCTTGTCCTTCTCCATCCGCTCGCGCTTTTTTTCGTGGGTGGAAATCGTCGGCACGAAGAACGTCGTGTTGTCAGATTCGCCCTGCTTTGCGGCGCCCGCCCGCTTCACGTCGCTCTCGTCGAAGTGCGTGGGCACCACCGGCTGGTCCACCAAGAGCGGCGTGGACGCAATTGCACCGTAGGTCATCAGCGGCGACATCATGCCGTTCTCGACCATCTGGTCGGGGTCCAGCGACGGGGTGTGCATGAACGTGTCGTCCTTTTGCATCCGCCCCGTGGGCCCGCCAAACTCGCCCTCCTCCGCCATCACCAGGTGGGAACGCAGCTTGTGCTCGTCCTCCATCTTCTTCAGCCGCTTCTGCTCCTGCGCTTTGGCCTCCTTGGTGTAGTTCGAGCGGACCGGGAACCGCGTGCCGGAAAAGTTCGTCTCGCCCTTCTGTCTTCGCAAATGCGAGGCCGGGATGATCCCCTTGGGGTTGAAGTACAGGCTGTTCCTCGCCGTGTGAGAAGCCTGAGTTTTCAACGCGAGTGTCTCCGGGTTGCGGGCAGAAACCAGCTCCAGCTTCTGTTCGGACTCCTGGACGAGGCCCTTTTTCGTGCCTGCGGTTGTGGAAGTGGTTGACGCAATTATTTGCTGTCCTCGATTGTTGCTGCCAATCTTGGCCAAAACGCCACTGGCGGAAGATGCACCGGCGGTGTTGTCGTTTTGATGCTGTGGACCCGGCGCTGCTGCACCAGTACTAGAAAAATCCTCTCCCTGCGGTGAAATAAATGCTCCCCCACCGCCGCCCACTGCCACTGGCGATTCTCCCCCCTCGTCCCAATCCAGGCGTTTGTCCAGCGCTTCGGTCGTCAGCAGCTGCTTGCCGCCCGGGGATTTTGGCGTCGGCAAGTCCAGTTTTCTATTCTCGGAATCCTCGGAATTCTTCGACGGCGGCGCGACCAACGCCAAGCGCGGGGCGATCGGGATGGCCAGGTCGTCAAACGTGCTCGAACCGTTTTTTCCGCCGCCGTTCTCCAACATTTTCGATTCGTCCCGGAAATCCTGAATTTGTTGTTGCACCAAGTAGTTTTGTCGATCCGTGATCGGGTCAAACTCCTCCTCCGCGGCGACTTTCGTCAACCCAAACACGTGCTCCCGGGACTGGTCCGCGAACGGCATTTTCAGCTGCTCCTTCAGCAACTTCGACCCTTTTTCCAGCGTCCGCGTTTCCGTCACGGTGGTGGCGGTCTCCACGGTGTTCACCGCTTTCCCCTCCTCGTCCTTCTTGCGGTGCTTTTTCCACCAGTGCGGGTTGTTCTGCCGCTCCGTCTTTCCGATCTTCGCACTGTCCTCCGCGAACGCGTCCCGCAGGTGTTTCAGATTCTGGTCGATGAACTGCGCCCCGGAGTACTCGATCGCCAGTTTTTCGCTGTTCTCCAGCGCGATTTGCAGTCGGTCGTGCTCCTCCTTCTTCTCCACGTAGGCCTCTTTTTGCCGCTTCTTCTGCATGTCCTTCTCGAAAATCTCGCGGAAGGACGCGTTGTCTTCGGAGAGGTACTTTGCGTTGTACTCGTCGAGCGTCATGTTCTTGGTGTTCAGCGTCGTGTACTTGCCGTTGTCGGTCCGCTGCACGATGCGGGTCACGTCCGACGGGTTGTACACGTCCTTGTGCTCTTCCCGCTTTTCCAACGCCAGAATCTCTTTCGCGATCTCCATCCGCGCCTGCTCGGTCTCGATCGTCCCGTCGCGGGGCAGGGAAAACAGCTCGTTCTGCAGGCGGAGCTTGGGCAGGTCCGGAAAAAAATCCCGCTCGATGATCGCGGACAACCCCTCGACAAAATCCTCCTCCGTCACGATCTCCGCGTTGGGACGGGGCTTCAGAAAGGTTTCCTTCTCCGGTAGCAGCGACAGCTCGTTCGCCCTCCGCTGCGCCAAGTCCCTCGTGCTGTGGTGCACGTTGTCCTTGGCTGGGATGATCTGTCCATTACGGTCGCGCGTGCTCCCGTCCTTCTTCGGCAGAAGCGCGAGCAGGGCATGGGACGGGGCGGCATGGGACTTGGCGGAACTGGAGTTGCCGCCGACGCTGCTCGCACTACTCAGCCGGGAGGACATGGTTTGGTTTTTCAAACGGAGTTGCTGATGAACAAGCCGGGAACTACGAATAACCACGATGAAGTCACTACTTGAAGATCACTGCTCCTGGTGATGTTGCTTCGCCACCTGCTGTTCATGGTCACGAGTGGAGAAGTGGTGCGCAGTAAGCTAGCGAGCTTCTACCATATAAGTAAGTATCAAGTATGTCGACCACCACATAATTCCTGAAAACTTCTGAATGGAGAGATAGCGTGCTTTGAAATTTGAAGTACTGAAAAAACAAAATCTTGATTGAGGTCCTGTATGGAGCATTAAAACTCAGGGCGATCGGAATCGGCTAAGCATTTGCATTTCAAAACGCGGAAATCATGTCATATTTCGAACAGCGATCCGTCTTGCGAGTACGATTTCGATCTTCTTCTTCTCATGAAAGTGCGCAAGCTCGTCATCATGCTCGAAACAAATTCAGATCCTTCGATACGACGCACCTTCCAGGAACAAATTTGAAACTCTGACCTGTTGCTGCCCTAGCAGGTCTCGTGGATCATAGCGCTTTTGAAGTCCTATTTGCAACTAAAATCAGCAAGGTGTGGGAAAAAAACCAAGTGTGTGCTGGTATATTTGCTTCACACCAAACGTAGCTCGACTGCAAATTGCTTGAGATCGCGGCTGCAAATCTTACTTCCAACTCGGTCTCGATAATTAACAAATCCTCGGAAAAAATAATCCTTTAACAACATCTGTACCACCAACGCAAAACAACCCTCACTCCTCCCCAAACGGGCACTTCCAGGGGTCCTTCTCGCCTGAGTTGCAGCTGCACGTGTCCCCTCGTGCTCCCTTCTCCGGCACGCCGCAGTGCTCCTCGCAAAACGCTTTTTTCTGCTTCTTTGCGTACTCCGGGCCCTTGTCCGCCAGAACCTGTCCATTACCACACAGAGCAAACGTGCACGCCTGGTGCTTCCAGTGCGACGGCTTGGGGACGTCGCACCCGAGGTGCGGGCCTTCCTGGACGACAACACAGCAGGCGCAACTGCATGTCTTCGGCGGGTACAGCTTCTTCTTCTGCTCGAGCACGTGCCGGAGATTGCTGGTTAGGAAGGCGCGGACCGCGGTGGCATCGAGGAGAAGGACGAAGAAAAACAGCACTGGGGAGCGACGAAATGACCGAAGCATTTTGAAATAAATGGGACAGCGCAGCCACCAATACTGGGAGCAAGTCGCACTCAGGTGAGTTTACTTACACCACTGACATCTCTCGCCAACAATGTGTGACGCAGGAAACTTCTCTCCTCTCAAGAACACGAACCGTGGGCAGGCGTGCACCCTGCAAGCGCCGCGCGCCCGCATTTCGTCCGGGGGTTTGACGCCCGGCAATGCGAGGAAGCAATTGCTGTCTTGAAAATCGTGCCCCAGAACAAGAGACTCGGGCCGACCGAGACTAGGGCCGCCGCAAAACAGCGCCAGAAGGGCGCAGGCTTGCAGGCGGCGCAAGCCAATCTGCGGGCCGCGCACCCGGCGCAGCCCCTCGCGGGTTAGAAGGGCCGACGGGGAGGCCGTCTTTGCCTCTCCTTTTCGAGACAACTGGCGCGGCCGCGCGGAAGGCCGCCAACCAAGCGTCTAAGGCCGGGGGGCCAGCAAGCTGAAAGGCCGGGAAAGCAGGGCCGCCGCAGCCGCGGACCGGATTCCGCCAATTTGGGGCGCCCAGAACCGGGCGCCGAAAAAAAAAGCCACACCCGCCAAGCCCGCGAAGCCGCCGCCCTCTCGTCTTCTTTTTTGCGTCGACAAGAGCGCGGGCGCTAAACGCTTGCTGCGAACAAATTGCCGCCGGAACCGAAGACGATGCTGCAGCCGTTTCTCCAGCCGCCTGACCGGCGGGGAAGAGTCTTCGCGTGGGGGGCTGGCTGCGCGGGCCTTGCGGCGCCTGCCCGCCCGGCCTGCCCGGCGGGCGCCATTTCCCTACCGGCCCGGTGCTGTCTACCGGCCCCGCAGGCCGGCCGCGAACAACGGCGCCAGCGCCCGGGCCGGGCGCCAGCGGTGTTACAGGGCGAAGGAAGGCGGAGGGCGGGCCCGCAAACCCGCAAAGAACTCGCTGCCGCCCTTCTACGTCGTGGACCTCGCCTTCGAGGCGGCGGCCGGCTTCGCCGGGGATTTGATCTGCGCGCCGGCCGCTTTCGGCTTCGGGCCCTGCCCATATATTTGCCCGGGGGGGCTCGCCCTGGTGGCGGCGAAAGGCCGCCCGGGCAATCTGCGCGCAAAAACCGCGACGGCGCTTAGCTCCCTGCTGCTTCTTTGCCACCTTGCCTGCCGCCTTGTCGAAGGCCTGGCGGGCCCTCTTCCGCAACCCCCAGGCCGACGGGTAGCAGAGGCGGGCCCTCTCGACGAACCGGATCCGCCCGGCTCGGGCTGGGTGAGGGCCGCCGCCTTTGCGTCTTTTCCCGCCGCGCCGTCGTGGGCCCGCCTCTTGTCGATGGGGGCGGCCCTGCGAGCGGCCCCCCAACCTCGCGCGGCGCCGGCCGAGTACATTGGCCCCGCCGCTGCCGGCGCCCTCGGCGCTTGCATGCAGGGCGGCGCCCGAGGAAAGTCCGCGGCGGCCCCGCGGCACGCTGGGCGCACGCCCGAGCGGCATCGCAGCGCGCTGGCAAAAGAACACAAAGCCCCAAGCTTGGCTATTCCCGGTCGGCGCTGTGCTGCTGCCCCCCCCACTGCCGGGAGGCTTCTGGCATGGGCGGAGCCTTTTCTCCAGCCGCGGCCCATTCTCCTCCTCGACGAACATGCGCCCCCCCCGGGCCCGCAGTTCCGGAGTGGGGTGCCATCATCTTCGTACCCAATCCCGGGAAGCGGAGTCTTGATCGCCCCGCCCGCGGGCGTGGCAGAGAGCAGGCGAGCCGAAAGCCCCCCGCGCCGCCCGCCGTGCGCATGGCGTAAGCGCGGCGGCCCGCACCCGCCGAGCGTGCCGCACGCTCCGGGCAAGGACAGAAAGGCCTGCGCCCGGAAATCGCTCCACGTGGTCAGCCAGGGGCCCCGCCGTTTTCTCATATTGCCCAACCCTTCGGCCAGGTGGCGCAACCGCCCCTACTTCTGCCGCCGTGGTTTGGATCTCGCAGAGCCAGTGCCCTCGCGCGCTCTCAATCCCGGCCGCGCCGGCTCCCGTCTTCTCCAAAAAATACCCCAGCGGCCGCAGGGCCTGGCGCGCCATGATGCGCAAACACCTAGGCGCCGACTCTCCGACCAGGCCGCAGCCCGCGGCCTTTCGTCTACGCGTATGCGCGCCGCAGTCGTCCCATGCAATCCGCACGCTAATAGGCCACACTCGTCCCAGCAACATACCTGATTGATTACCTCATAGTCCAAAAACCACGGGCGCGGGAACACACTTACGACTCCGTCGATGCACATGTGCGACGCGTTGCAACTCCGCACATGATCACACAATGAAACGAGCATTATCGGATTGAAGAAAGTTCGGCCAATACTTCTAGATAATTCTCTGAAATAAAGTGTGAACGCGTCGCGCAAAAGACAATCACCAGAAGCTGAATGATTCTCGTTTAGGTTCGTTCCCCAGATTTTCAAAATGAAAAAAGTTTTGTCGTCCTTCGCTCTCACCACAATAGAGAATGAGAACCAGAATTCCTTCTGACAGAACCAAAGCCAAACCAGCCTCATTGCTTGCCACCGTCATCCGCTCCCGCGTCAGCCGCTTCTGCTTCTCCCGCAAAATTACCAGCTTGCTTCCGCTCGGCCAGATATTCCGCTTTCTTCAGCCGCTTCTGCGCTCGCTTGCTGAGCTCAGCCTCTGTCGCGTTCTCATCTTCCGCCGCACGCTTGTTCGTCGCCGATCCCGAAGACTGATGCTTCGCCGCATCCGCCGCCGCCTTCTGTTTCATCTCCTTCGAGATCCGCTCCTTGAAGTTATTGCTTTTCCCGTCCCGTTCGCCCAGTGGCCACCGCGGTCGCGTCTCGAAAAAGTAGTGCGCGTTTTCCGCCTTGCTCGGCGGGTCGTCGTAGAGCCCCTGCAGTAACCGCTCCACGCCAGTCCACGCCACCATCACGCCATTGTCCACGCAGTACTTGGGCGGGGGAATCAAAATCTCCAACCCCCGTTCCTTCGCTAACTTCGAGATCTCCGCGCGAACCAGCCCGTTGGCCGCCACGCCGCCCGCGACCACGAGCGTCTTCACTTTTTTTTTCGATTCTTCCGCGCAGTTGTCCGGGTTGTTGTTCACGGTCGCATCTAAATGTTCCTGCGCGCGGACGATCGCGCGGTCGGTGCGCTCCACGAGGTGCGCGACGGCAACTTTTTGGAACACCGCGGCAATGTCCTTCCGCGCCTGCTGCTTTACGGGATCTTCTTCGGTTTGTATTTCCGCAGCTGGTTTCTTTCCTTCCTCTTTATCTTTCCCCGCACCCTCCGTTGTCGCATTCGTCGCCACGACCGTGCTGTCCAGCGGACAGTGTTTTTCGATGAGCGCCTTGACCCCGGTTTTTAACCCAGAGTAGCTGAAATCGCATCCCTTCTTGAGCCCGACGTCGCGGCTGTTGCACAATGGCTTTGGTAGGAAAAACTTTTTGTCATCGCCCTCCTTCGCCATTCTCTCCAAATGCGGTCCGCCGGGAATTTTCGTGATCCCGAGTAGCCGGCTGGTCTTGTCAAACGCTTCGCCCACCGAGTCGTCCAGTGTGGATCCGAGAATGCGGTGTTTACCCAGGCCCTCGGTGAGCACCACCATGTTGTGGCCGCCCGAAACTAACAGGGTCAGGTACCTGCGAAGAGAAGTTTGGAGACAACATCATTATATTTGATTTCGTTCGCAAATAAAATGCTGCATAGTGTAACCTGCAGGTGATGCACGTGAGTGCAGAAATAGTACGAAAGTAAAAACTGCGATCGGTCAGCACAGTTACGAGGGGAACATTAAAACACGAAAAAACGACGTGTATACGGAAAATCCGGGATAACTTGGTCCGCCTTCATGGGCATCCGCGTGACCATCGCGTGTGCCTCCATGTGGTGGATGCGGAGGAGCGGCTTCTGCAATTCCGCGGCGAGCCGGACCGCCTTTTCCACCCCAACCGAAAGGCACAGACTCAGCCCCGGGCCGACGGTCACGGCGACCGCGGTGATGCTCTCCTGGAGGCTCTTGAACCTGCCATTGCTGTTCTGCTTCGCCAAATCGATGCAGGTGCTCACGGTTTCGTGAATGGCCTTCTTGTGCGCCTCCTGTGCCGCGTCCGGCTTCACGCCCCCCCACATCTCGTGGATGCCGGCCTGGGACGCGACGCACTCGCCGAGGATTTTCCCGTCCGCCGTCACGATCGCGCAGCCCGTGTCGTCGCAGCTCGACTCGATTCCGAGAACGACGACATCCTCAGGAGGGAGTGTCCGGTACGTGTCAATCTTCTTACCGAGCTTACAACTTTCCACCTTTGCACGATTTTCACGTTCCTTGTCGACACTGCAGTCAGCATTATCTTGTTCGCTGCTCTGTGGGCTCTGGTCTACCGTGGACTCCGTGTCGTTATTCGTCATATAATCGGTGCAGGAAGAACTGCTCCCACCGCCCAACGCTTTCCCGATGAAGAACTCACTCAGCAGCGACGGGCTCACGTGGTACCGCTGCTGCGCTCCCTCCGCGGCCGACGCCAGCGCAAAGTCCTTCAGTCGCGCGTCCCACGCAACATCGTTCGAGGACAAAAGATTCTTATCCTTGTCCACACTCTCCGGCACCAACCTCGCCTCCCGTGCCTCAGCCTGCACGCCGACGCCGGACAGGTAGACGTGCAGCACGCGCTCGTGGGGCACTTTGATCGCCGTCCCGAGCCGCTCCGGCCACTCGATCAGGCAGACGTCCTCGCGGAAAATTTTCTCAAAGTCCACCAGTCCCGCGATCCTGCCCGCCGGCAGCCGGTAGGGGTCCAGGTGATGGACCGAGCAGTTCGGAATGTGCGCGAACCGGGACGCTTTGAAGACGATCTTCTTCTCTGGATGTTGTTGGGAAGGCCGCTCCTGCGTCGGCCTCGTGGGCGGTAGTTGTTCTTGCTGGAGGTGGTCCATCGTGCTGTCGCTTGTACGGGCAGTAGTTGCCGAAGTTTTCTTCAAGATCTCCTTCGTGTCGTCTGAAGGGTGCGTAGACATAGAGTGGTCTTTTGGCGTTGTTCCCACCACCTCCTCCTCCGTCAACTTTTTTCCTTCTTCCGGAGCGTCCTGTTGGTACACGAAGTGCAACAAATACGTCGGACTGGGCACGTCGAGCTGCGCGTTCTGGAAAAAGTACCGGAGAAAGCCTCGCGACAGCGCGGTCTTGCCCGCCCCGAGCTCGCCGTGGAGAAAGAAAATGTCGCCTTTCCGGGACTTGGCGGCCAGGAGCGCGCCGAGGGCCTCGGTCGCCTCCACGCTGGGAAGCGATGCGGTAACGGTCGGCGGTGGGGTCATGTTTTGCTTTTCGGGGGAATGTAAAAGTATTATCCAAATGTTTTGAGTCGTTGGGAGAGGAAAAATTCTGGGGGTGTCGTGAACTGTGCAAAATTCCCGGGTAAAGTACTAGAAAAATACACGGATCTTGAGATAGAGGTAGATTTTGACTCAGGAAGATTCATTCACCAATTGCTAATAGAGAACCCGTGCTGTCGAAGAAAGTCATTACTGATGAGGTCCTGGAGGCGGAGTGCGAAAATTGAAATTTCAAAATTTGGGTGGAAATAAACACACGTGGTGTTTTGGGATCATCAAGCAGGAGTACAGTAGGTAGAACATTTTCGTCTTCGTGATCGAAAAACTGTTCATTTCAAATTCAACCGTAGTGCTCACAAGATCCGACTCGACAAGATTCTGAAAAATTCAGTACCATTTTGACCGCAGGGCAAGAAAATGCAGCTGAATTCCTTTTGATCTTCGGGATTCCGGGATCGATCTAATGCTACTTGGTGTTGCTGTACTTTCTCACGATTGCAACCGACAAATGGTATCTGGAGAGATGCATACCATCATATAAATTTTGTGGATCTGCGGGTATTTCTTGGAACTGCGCGCAAAGACCGTCCTTCGGTTCCGGTGCCACTTGCGTGGCGGAAACGTTTCGTTGTTTTTTTCCAGATTCGGTTTTGACAAACTTTTGTGAGGGCGAGTTCTCCACTGAATTGTTGTTATTTGATGCCCAAGTGGGACCTTGTTTGCATCGACATGCAGCCAACTGTCTGTGCAGTCATCTGCACCTCTAGTAAGGCATCACTCTACAACAGCTCTAGTATTGCATGTCGCTTTTAGCACCTTTCCCACTGCCAGTCACCACCTCGTATTCCACAGCAAAATGTCATCTTCTTTAGAGTCACGACAGAAAAAAATGATTATCAATTCGAAATCCAAATCGATGATCGCTTCCTTGTGACATTTTCTTCTTTCACATCTTAACAATTGTTGTACCAGCATTATTTAGATGCAGAACTTATACTTTCGCCTCTGCCTGAGAGCGTCATCAGCATCGGTTGCAACTCTCTAAACATCTTGCGAAGTTTCCCTATAGCAAACGACACTGCATGTTGGCCATTTTCCGCGTACCAGGCATCGCTTGCACTGGCGAACACGTCTTTCGCTGCTCTACCTTCGTTGTTCGGCTTGTTCAGCAGCAGTTTCCAGATCCACTGTAGAGCGCGGTCGTTATTGCTGTAGTCTTTCCCCGGGTCGCCAAACGGCTTCAATGTGTTTACGGTTTGGCCAGCCGCGTTCCTGATAAAGTTCAGGTGCTGACGTCCAATGAGCTTTTCAGCTTTTGATAAATCTAGATCTGCCACAGCCACAGCCTCGTGCAGCGCCGTGTTCCCGTTTGCATCCACGGCATGGAGTAAAAACGCGAACTGTCTGCACCGCCCGTTCGTTTTTAGACATGCGTCCAAATCCTTTCTTTTCGGGGCGTCACTTTTTTGCAAATAACTGCCTTTGTTGAAATGCTCCATTTCCGTCGTGGCCACCACGCCCTGCCGGTCCAACCGAATTCTTTCGAGGAACCAATCCAGTCTCGCACCGCCGGCAGAGTGCAGAACACTAATATCTCCATCTTCGTGGACCTTCGTGTACAATATTGCCCGCTCCAGTTGCGGCAAGTCGCCGCTTCGCCCAGCCCGCACGACAGTCACGTGCAAAAGGTCCGCAAGCTCCTCAAGCCGGTCCGCGTTCATCTCGTATCTAGTAGTGATAGTTTCAATTCCGCCGGGAAGACGAGTCACGGTGTGTATAACGTTGTTTCCGACTTCTCTCTGCCATTCTGCCATCAGTAGCTTTTCCCACACCCAGAACAAGGCCCCCACGGCACCCGCGTTTTGTTCACCCTCTGAAGACCCCCCTGGCCGCACCTGGATCACGGTTTCGACCGCGCGCCAATCGCCCCGGCCTGCTGCGTAATGCACTGGTGTTACGCCAGTGGAGGCACTGTCGGTGTGGTGCAGGAGAAAGGCAAACTTGTGGCACAGAAGATACAGCTCCAGACATTGTTCCAGGTCCGCAACGGCTGGATCTGCACTTTCCTCGCCGAGCCGAAGTTTCGTGCCAACGTCACGTTTTAATAGCTCCAGCTCTTCCTCCCGCGTGGACCACGACGTGATCTGGTGCGCGTCCATCGGGATTGTCGCACCTGCGTAGCTTTCCCAGATGGTGTGACGGATGTCGCGAAACTCCGGTGTCTTCCGCAACAGGGTGCGCCACACCCACAGCAGGGCACGCGCGCTACCGGAGCCACTGTCCTGGAGTCCGAATGGATTGCGGGCGTCCTGTTCGAAGCGGCCTCTAACCGCATCATAAGCGTGTTGCAACCTGGCCAGGTGGTCGTCCGAAGTCAGCGACGTGGCGTCCGTCAGGCCGTCGTTGTAGCCCACCAAGTGCAGCAGCACGCGCAACCGCGTGCTGGACTCCAGGCCGGCGCCCCGGTAGAACGGTTCGCCAGGGCTCCCAGCGCTCTCTGCCGCGTGCAACAAAAACGCAAACTGGCGACAGAGCCGGTGCTCGTCGAGGCAATTTTGCAAGTCTTCCAGGCTGGGGTCGCCGGGACCGTGCCCTGTGTCGCGTCTTTCGAAATGGCGCTTGAAACGTTTCATCTCCCGTTTCCGCACCACTTTCCGGTCATCGGCCCGGACCTTCTGCAGTACCCACTCGACTGTGGATGGCGCTGCCAGGCGGATGACATGCAACCGCGACGCGCCCTCCGTCCGCGCGTAGAGCAGCGCGTCCTCATTCTTGGCCCGGCACTTCTCGAGAGCGACGCCCGTTCTCTGCGCCGGCGCGGCAGGAGGTGTCACAGGCTTCTGTGGTTTGCTTCCTCGTCCAACAAGGGCGGCGGCGCTCCTCCGCACTCTGCGGACAAGACCCGAGCTTTCTCGTCGGGCCGAGCCCGAGCGGCTCTCGGTCGCTGCGTCAGTTGTGGGAGGACCACCGGTAGCAAATCTCGCCGGAGCCGCACAGCTTTCGTCCAAAACTTGCAATATGACGGAGCCCGCCTCCTCGCCGCTGTGCCTGTATGGTGCGGGCACGATTGCACCCCGGTGTGGTAATGTACGATGCTTCTCGCTGTAGCGCGCACTGTTGACCCAGGCGGAATATCGAAGATCTGGTTCACCACGGCCACGGGCATCTTCAATATCGCCTGTAAGAACTCCGGATGAGCTAACTTGTGTGTGTGTCTGGAACAGGAGGGTCCGCTGCTCTTTGACCGACAACCAGGTTGCAATCAGCCGCAACTGCAGAGGCATCGCCAACAGGGCGAATCGCACAAGTTCTGGCACCACCTTTTCAAGTGGGCGAAAGTCCAAGGCGACCTCGTGGGTGGCCAACTGCGCCGCGGCATGCAAGACCGTCCGGCCGTCCCGCGCTCTGGTCAACAGTAGTTTGCGCATCTGGTCTGGAGTCAAAAAAGTAACAGCTAGCTGCCAGACGAAGTCCAGACGGGACGCACTTTCTGCAGACTGGCTGTGATAGATCGTTCCAACACGCGTCTCGAGATGCGTGTCCATTGCATCCAGCAGTAACGTCTTCCCAAATTTATTGTCACGCTGGAGCAGCAAGTCCGCCATGAATTGTTGCCGCGCATCTGGTGCCTGCACATCCGGGGTCTTCTTGGGCCGTCGTCGACTTTCGGAACGTCCCGCTGGTTGAGGAGGCTCCGTTTGCCTCCAGCTTTCGAATTCCGCCCTTGCCGCTGGAGCCGTAGCACCGTTTCCGTTGGCCATCTCGGTCTCGAAAAAATAGATATTTTCTCCGCCCCCTTTAAGCGCGTACCCCGCGGCAACGAGTGAGAGATTCTGGTACCAGGAAATCCACCGCTCGTTTAGACGAAATCGTGCGTCGGCGCTCTGCCAGTGCTATACCCCTCAAGATGATCGTTCTCCAGAGCCTGCCAATGAACACTGAATCCACTACTTGTTCGTCCGAGTCATACAAAAGGTTACACAGACACACTGCTAAATAAAATGCGTGGCTGAGAGGTGGCATGAAAATTCAACAACGTGATTATGTTATACTAACGGACGCTTCCGATTTCCTTACCCCGTAGTGAACAAGTGCATCATGAACTCAAGTCCTGACTAGACCCGGAAAACACTGATCTCATCCAAGGATAGATACTTTTCTACTTCTTGCGCGTTAAATACGTTGTCCATGTACACCACCCCCGGCGGGCGCACGTCACTGGGCCCCCTTCTATGCCGAGCTACCAGCTCCTCGAGATTGCTTTCAACTGTTTCGCGCAAAGACCGCTCGGGCTCCCCTTCAACGGTTTCGGGCAAAAGCTCGGGAGCGAGAATCCAAGGACGACCCTGCTTCTTCCAGTTTTTCGCCACGAGGCGGAGTGTCCATTGCCGAAGGAGGGCGTGTAACGCCACGGCGGTGTACTTCTTGCTGCACGCCGTACACTTCAGCGCCTCGTCGTACGAAAGCCGGTGGCACAGGATGCTACCGTTATATCCTCGGTAGAAGCCGTTACGCCCTTCGACGACCGTGCGCGGTGTGTAGGGACGTGCCAACATGTTGTTGTACGCACCAGTCATCAGTACATCGCACAGGCACTCGTGACACATGCCCTCTTTGCATTGGCACCGCATCTGCGTCGGGGGTTGCATCAACGCGTTCTCTGGCCCCAGGTTTGCCGCGTCTTCCAAGCAAATGCTGCAGCTCCCTTGTTGCTCGTCCGGGAAGTTGTCTTGATGCTGCTCGTCGTGGTCCGGGGAGTTCCTTGTAAGAAGATCTTGACGACGACCACTCGTACTTTGTTCACGCGCCGGCTCACGAAGAACAAGATCGCTGGAGGGACCACTACTACCCGCGGCTGCGCTTCGACTCGCGCTGCCACGGTCCTCCTGCGTTCGTGATTTATTTCGCGATGAACTCGAACTTGATGAGGATGACCGCTTTCTACTAGTCCTCGTTCTCTTCTTCACAGTTCTTCGCCGACCGCGATCATTTCCCCCAGCCCGAGCGGCGGCTCCACCTCCGGTTCGCGAATTTTCGGACGAAGATTCGGATCCGCTGCTCCCCGACGAATCCCAGAACTCACTTCCGCCCTCGCTGTCCGAGTCCGGTCCATCTGAAGCAGAACCCGCTGCTGGAGCACCTTGTGCATGGGTGTAAGTTGGACCATCACCACGCAACGGTGATGCTGCAGGTTCCGGTTCCCTCCCGGAACGAATGCTAGTGCTACTAGGGCCCGACGCGGACAGCCCCGACCGCACGGCGGCCAGGAGCACGAGAACCCACGAGCCGCGAAAAATCATAGTACTTTCGAGCCAAAAACTTCTGACTACCAGATATTTCCTTTCGACCCAAAAACTTCTGAGCCCGGCGGCTTTGAAGTTTGTGAGTAAAGTTGGTTTAGTTCGTTAGGATTCCCACAGGACAAACAAAATCAAGAGTTGCAATTCTCGATCTTATAATCCACTACAATTCTTTCGCAAAATCCTACTTGCAGCAAAACTTCCAGGTCAGCGCCAGGAAGGAGTAGGCTATACTTGTTACTTATCGCAAAGTATATAGTCAAAATGATGTTTCAGCTTCGGTGGACTGTAGTGCTACAATTATGCGAATACACACTTTCATTAATTCGTTGCAATGATTAGACGTGATTTTCTTTTTGGTTTTTGTGCTGTAAAACGTATCTATCAATTGTAGATTATGTGAGATCTGATTTGCAAATCCGCACAGAATCCTGTTTCGATTTCGAAAGTTTTGCATCATCTTGATCTGACCTGTCGCAGTAGCGCGTGAGCCCTTTTGCGAAAGAACCTTTCAATTCTCTAGAGTTCATTGCCGACCTCAACCGTCCGTTGCAGCACCGACCGATCTATTAAGTATTGCATCCATTTTCCAACTTTGGTCTCTTACCGATATGTGATTTTTCTTTCTGTACAGAAGCAGTGCGACCTTTTAACATCGATCTTCGAGATTCCATTTTGGTGATGATCTATTCCCTCTGATCTGAATCTGCTTCTGCATTACACCGATCAGTGTGGTTGCAGTGGCTTGCAAGGGATCATGGAATTTGAAAATTTTCAAATGCTCTGAACGAGAACGGGATCCAGAGACTCTGTTGAAGCACCATTTCCCCGGTAGATAAGACGCAATACAAAATTAGCCGTGACGCGACCAGCTGAAATTTTACGGCGTTCAGAGATAAGCAAAGATTTGTGCTGCTTTGTGTTAGAACGACGCAAATGCCGAGGAGCTGTGGCCAAGCTCCATTTTGCAAAATCGGCACCGAAGACTTAACGACTCTGCTGCTCTCCGTCCTGCAGATGTGGTTGTTGAGAGATAAATCGCACTATAAAAACGAACAACCCAAGAAGGTGTGTTACCTTTCAGCACGCGTCGGGCGAAAGACTTGTAGAGAAAGCAGACAAGTTGTTCGCACCTTCGTTGTTGTGTCCGAAGTTTATCGGTCCAAAAGTTGTCCTCCTTAAACGCGCAAAAACAAAAAGAGCTCACTTTCTGGTCGATCTTTGCATTTTTACTAAATTCGGACGCAGCGCCGCTGCTGGTGCCTTTCATTCAGGTTCGATTGAAGAAGAGGAGTAGATCACGCGCGGCAAAGTATGACAGCAAATACGCTCTCGCGGTGGGTACACACCTACAACTACTCCGCTTTTTTGGAAATTAAAATATACATCCTCTCGTCCCTTTCCGTTGGCGATCGAGCCTACGTCAGAAAGCTGCAATGACTGTTTGCACTTGCAGCGCTTTTCACTACAAAAGCACTACGGTTTTCTCCTACCGCCGGGTGCCTCGGTATAGATACAAGAATTTGTGATGTCTCTAATATGCTCATGAATTTGTAGAAATGCTCATCATACAGTATAACATGAAAGAGGTTCGCTAGACAAGGCGAGCTGGCATTTTGACAAAAAACTGAGACCATCACGTCGCATTTTTGACATGACGCGATGATGATCAAAATCATAGCAATTTGTTTTCGCTCTTCTCCGTACGCGAAAACGTCTTCAAAATAAAAATCGCATTAAGAGGATTTAAAGCTCTGAGTTATGTTCTCTGTCCAGCATGATCGGGCACCATCCAATAATGCAGTACGTCAACATGCGATGGTGCAAAAAAAAATGCAATGTCTAGAAGTACTCAGGATAACTTACAGGTCTTCAAAGTCTCACAAAGGTTGGGTCAGGCCTTTTTTGATCCAAAATTCGCGAAAGTTGGCTCAGAAGTTGCCTTTCCGTAAACAAACGGGAACGCGTCACATGAGGTTTCAGCAGATCTCCGGCCGTATCCCCGAACGCGTTTTTCTTGAATAGCAGCTGCCGCCACACCCAGCGGGTCGTTTCCGGGTGATTGGACCCCGAAAACGGGTTTTCCAGGTCGGGTTCTGCGTACAGTCGCCGGTCGTGTGGTCCACCGCGTCTCGGGTGTCCTCCGTCCTGTCGTGCGACGTGATTTCTACTTTCTAAGTGATCACGAGAAGGAGCTTGCTCTAAGTGAAGATCACGCTGCTTTTCTTCGAGAACAAGAGTTCTTGTTAACGAAGTACTTCCAGAGCGGCCGGTACTACTGATCGACACCGCTGGTCGCGCTGCACCCGACGGGTCACTTTTTACATCTTCCAGTTGTTCTATCGTGCTCAGGTCGTCGAAGCCGATCAGAAGTTGCAGGGCCGCCCAGTTCCCCGACCGCGCCGCCTCGTGCAGCGGCGTGTCGCCGCGCGCGGCGTTCACAGCGTGGAGCAGAAAACTGAACTGCCGGCAAAGCGGGTCTTCGTCGAGGGCCGCGCGGAACTCTTCGGGCAGCGGCGGGGCTGACGTGTTCGTGGTTTCGCCGGGGGGCGTTGTTAATTCTTGTTGCTCCGCTTTGTAATTCATCTCTCCTCGGGGGGCTGGGTTGTAGGAAGAACTACTGCTATGCGCGTGATCGACGATACCCAATTGTACCTCTGACGGGACCACCACTATCGATTCGTGCCCTTGGCTTGCCCCTTGGTTCTTGGTGGCAGCGCCTCCGCCTTTAGGTGGACCCTTCTGAAGATTCCTCCTCCGCACCGCAAGCGGCCCCTCCCAAAACTTTTTCGCGACTTCAATTTCTTTGTCTACTGCCGCGCGATCATCGTGGCCGGACGAGGAAGCGCTATACTGCTGCTTGTACCTTCGCTGCACTAGATTTTCCAGCTCCTGCGCCCGTACAACGTGAAATTTGTCCTCCCGGATGCGCCGCAGCAGCCAGCCGAACTTCGAATGGCGAAAAACGCTGTCTGGCGAGGCCCGCCCGCCCTGATTTGCATATGGCCCTGCATGACCTCCTGCAGCGGCCATTTGGTGGAGATGGACCTGCGTCAGGTGCAGCACGCTGTCGCCCAGCCCCCCGGACTTGGCATACAGGAGGTCAAAATCAAAGCTGGCGCGCTTCAGTAGGTTTATTTCCCTGCTGCTGCTGCTCTCGAGCCGGTCGGGGACAGAAGACCGAACAAGATCTTCCCGCTTCTCTTCCCTTCCGCTCTCCGTGGTCTCCCCGCGCGCTGCGGACGAGGCCGCGGCAGAAACGACTTGTGCCGAGGCGGTCGGCCGCCCGGCTTTGCTGCTTCCGCACACGATAGAAGCGCCGCCCCGGGTAACGCACTTTCGGGCAGAGGAAAGGAAAGAGGCACTGCTAAATGATCTTCTGCTGGTGGGCTTCGTGACACCTTTTTCGCATCCGTTCAGCGTGTGCACGCAAAGCAAATCCTGCTGGGGCGGCGTTGGCGGTAGCAGTTCTATGGCCCTCGTCATCTTCTACGATATTTCTTGCGTCGGGATGCACTTCCGCCGCATGCTGCCCAAGCTGCTCCAGAAGGAATTTTTCCTCCAAAATTTCAGCTAGCTCTTCCAGAATGTTTGTATTATATCCCGTGTTCACCTGCGGAGTTGGAACCTCTGCTGCGACCAGAAAGCACATATATGCTGAATATTCCTCCCGTACGGTTGCTGTTGCTCGCGAGCCATCGACGTGGTAGTACGCCCTTGAGTTCACCCGAGCATTTTGATAAAACAGGTTTTGGCGAAGCTGCGCAAAGTTCAAGGTGTCCGTGACGAGCTCTAGCTGCGACGGCATCCAGTTTTTTGGCACGCCGGGATCCTGGGCGAACAACCACTCGGAAGGTGCTGCAGCAGCTCCAGTAGAGGACGTTGCAGCAGAAGTCCTCCCACCACGATTTGTAGTGGGAAAACGAAAATCATCATGTTCCTGCGGTTTAGAAGTGGTCTTCATATAATTATCATTACCCTCACGACCTGCTTCAACATCCGCCTCCGGTGTCGCGACCACGCCCCACTTTTGGGACAGCGTTTGCGAAAAGAGACTGACTTCGTGCGCATTGGACCTTCGGAGCGGGGGGTGCTCCACCCGGGCGTGTACCGGCGACCAGGTTCCCTCCGGGGGGTGCGGTTGTGGCGGGGGAACGTGGATGTGCAGCCCCACGACGTGCAGCACGGTGAACCCCTCGGCGTCCGGGGTGAGCAAGACCTTCGCGCGTTCCGCCCGCGTCAAAAACACGCCCACCACCTGCCACATGAAATCGCGTCGGGAGTAGAGCAGTAGTGAGCCCGGAAAGTAGTGCGTGCTGGAGAGCTGCAACACCGCTTGCAGCAGCAGCGTCCGGCCGCGCTGCTGGTCTTGCATCATTAGGGCGTCTCGGACGACGCTCCGGGACGCCGGGGTCTGTTGCTGCTGGTTCGTCGTGTGCTGGTTTTGTTCTCCAGAAGAACGGGCACCTGTGCCCGCGACGTCCGCGGAGCCACCAGATTCTTTCCTAATGCTCCTGTTCTCCCCGAAGATAAGCGAAGAGACTTCTCCCATGAGCCGCGACGCAGTAGGTACGGCTCGGCTGGCAGAGTGGGCGGTCTGGCCACGCGGCCCGTGACTGCGTTCCTTCGCATTTTTCCCCGGAAAAACTTCTCTTGCTTCGGTCGCGCAGCCTTGCTGCCAGTGCGTCTGAAAATCGCTGTTCCCCTCATCAAGACCCGACATGCAATAGACCGGTTCGGGCGCGCTGATGCGGCTTCCGGCTGCGGTAAGGAGTAGGTTCTGCCACCACGAATTCACTTTGTCGTTCAAATTCCTCCGGGCCAACGCATCGGAAAAGTATTGTGTCCAGCGCGATTTCGACCCGCCGTCCTCACACAGGATCCAGCACTGTTTCTCAGTTACTAAATCGCCCGAATTGCAGCTGGCGCGCAGAAACGTGCGCAGCATGCCGAAGAGTCCGACGCTGGTGAACGGGCGCGCGCAGGTCGGACAGGTGAGGGCTTCTTTAAATTTCAACGGTCGCCCCCGCTGTGCATACGCCCGCTGCCGGCACCGGTTCGCGTACATAACGGTACTCGCCTGGTGGAGGCACTCTTCGCACCGAACGCTGGACGCGCAGGCACACGTGTTCGCCAATACCGGGACGTGGGAGGCCGGTCTCGCACACCACGCGCACGTCGAACAAGGACCACGAGCCCCCGCCGGACTGGAACGAAAACCCTCGCCGACAAACTTGTCATGCAAACAGTGCCACGAGGCACAGGATGGATTGGGTATTTTGCATCACAAATGAGGGGGAGGGGGAGTTGTAGTGCACTTTCATATTTCGCGTCGTCCACGAATTCGAGATACACCCGGTTACTTGACGCGATGGACAGTGCGTATGCAAGAAAAAAACTGTGTAAGTGTAAATCTGTGATGCAGAAAATCCCAAACAGGTACACTTGTCATGCTCGACATGCATGACCGGCTCGCTTCCTATGTGTTTTCCCTTTGTATCTGCGCATAACAAGTTTGTCCTGTCATGGCAAGCAAACTTGTGATGCTGTTTTCCCAAAAGACTTACACTAACACAGTTTTTTTCTTGGATAGCGCGGAGACTGTGTTCAGTAAGTACTCCGACCCGCCGAAAATCTTGCCCAGCAACAGCATTTTCCCGAGCCGAATATCGACGGGTAGCTTCGCCAGCGCGAGTCCCAAGGGCGTGATCTGGAACTGGAGATTTTGCACGATTTTCATTTTCCTTGTCGCCACTGCGGTCAACAGCATTATCTTGTTCGCTGCTCTGCGGGCTCTGGTCCACCGTGGACTCCGTGTCGTTATTCGTCATAAAATCGGTGCAGGAAGAACTACTCCCACCGCCCAACGCTTTCCCGATGAAGAACTCACTCAGCAGCGACGGGCTCACGTGGTGCCGCCCCCGCGCGGCTCCATCCGCGCCTGACACCACCAGCGCAAAGTCCTTGAGTCGCGCGTCCCACGCAACATCGTTCTCCTTGTCCACACTCTCCGGCACCAGTTTCGCCTCCCGTGCCTCCGCCTGCACGCCGACGCCGGACAGGTAGACGTGCAACACGCGCTCGTGGGGCACTTTGATCGCCGTCCCGAGCCGCTCCGGCCACTCGATCAGGCAGACGTCATCGCGGAAAATTTTCTCAAAGTCCACCAGTCCCGCGATCCTGCCCGCCGGGAGCCGGTAGGGGTCCAGGTGGTTCACCGAGCAGTTCGGAATGTGCGCGAACCGGGACGCCTTGAAGACGATCTTCTTCTCTGGATGTTGCTGGCAAGGCCGCTCCTGCGTCGGCCTCGTGCTGGGGGGTAGCTGTTCTTGCTGGACATGGTCCATCTTCGTGCTGTCGCTTGTACGGGTAGTAGTCGCCGAAGTTTTCTTCAAGATCTCCTTCGTGTCGTCTGAAGAGTGCGTAGACATAGAGTGGTCTTGCGTTGTTCCCACCACTTCCTCCTCCGTCAACTTTTTTCCTTCTTCAGGAGCGTCCTGTTGGTACACGAAGTGCAACAAATACGTCGGACTGGGCACGTCGAGCTGCGCGTTCTGGAAAAAGTACCGGAGAAAGCCTCGCGACAGCGCCGTCTTGCCCGCGCCGAGCTCGCCGTGGAGAAAGAAAATGTCGCCTTTCCGGGACTTGGAGGCCAGGAGCGCCCCGAGGGCCTCGGTCGCCTCCACGCTGGGAAGCGATGCGGTAACGGTCGGCGGTGGGGTCATATTCTAGTTTTCGGGGGAACGAATGAAAAAGTAAATCAAAATGTTTCGAGTCGCTGGGAAAGGGAAAACTGGGTGGGTGCCGTGAGAAGCTACTTGTACTTCCCGGGTAGTCTAGAAAAATACACGGATCTTGAGGTAAAGGTAGATCTACTTGACTGAGGGAGATTCATTCACCAATTGCTAATAGACAAATAGTGCTGTCCAAAAAACAAGTCATTACTGATGAGGTCCTGGAGGCGGATAGCAGGAATTGAAATTTCAAATAAATTGCGATGAAAATAAACACATGTGGTGCTTTGGGATCATCAAGCAGCAGTAGGCATAGAACATCTTCGTCTTCGTGATCGAAAAACTGTTCATTTCAAATTCAACCGTAATGTTCACAAGATCACCATAATGCTCACACGATCCAACTCGACGTGATTCTGGAAAATTTAGTACCATGTTGACCGCAGGGCAGGAAAATGCAGCTGAATTCCTTTTGATCTTCGTGATTCAGGGATCGATCTAATGCTACTTGGTGTTGGCGTACTTTCTCACGATTTCAACCGACAAATAGTTTCTGGAGAGATGCATTCATACCCTAATATAAATTTTGTGGATCTGCGGGTATTTCTTGGAACTGCGCGCAAAGACCGTACTTACTTCGGTTCCGGTGCCGCTTGCGTGGCGGAAACGTTGCGTTGTTTTTTTCCAGATTCGGTTTTGACAAACTTTTGTGAGGGCGATTTCTCCACTGAATTCTTGTTATTCGTGCCCAAGTGGGACCGTGTTTGCACCATCGACATGCAATCAACTGTCTCTGTAGTCATCTTCACCTCTACGGCATCACTCTACAACAGCTCTAGTATTGCATGTCGCTTTTAGCACCTTTCCCAGTGCCAGTCACCACTTCGTATTCCATAGCAAAATGTCATCTTCTTCAAAGTCGCGAGAGAAAAAAATGATAGTATCAATTCGAAGTCCGAATCGATGATCGCTCCCTTGTGACATTTTCTTCTTTCACATCTTAACAATTGTTGTACCAGCATTATTTAGATGCTGTACTTACAGATACTTTCGCCTCTGCCTGAAGGCGTCATGAGAACGGTTGCAACTCTTTAAACATCTTGCGAAGTTTCCCTATACTTTCCGACACTGCAGTTTGGCCTTTTTCCTTGTACCAGGCCTCGCTTGCACTGGCGAACACGTCTTTCGCTGCTCTACCTTCGTTGTTCGGCTTGTTCAGCAGCAGTTTCCAGATCCACCCTAGAGCGCGGTCGTTATTGCTGTGGTCTTTCCCCGGGTCGCCAAACGGCTTCAATGCGTTTACGGTTCGGGAAGTCGCGCTCCAGATAAAGTTCAGCTGCTTACGTCCAATGAGCTGTTCAGCTTTTGAAAAATCTCTTTTTTCTCCAGCCATGTGCAGCGCCGTGCTCCCGCTTGCGTCCACGGCATGGAGTAAAAACGCGAACTGTCTACACCGCCCGTCCGTTTTTAGACATGCGTCTACACCCTCTCTTTCCGGGGCGCCACTTTCTCGCAAATAACTGCCTTTGTCGAAATGTTCCATTTCCGTCGTGGCTACCACATTCTGCCGGTCCAACCAAATTCTTTCGAGAAACCAATCCAGTCTCGCACCGCTGGCAGTGTGCAGACCACTACCTCCATTGTGGGCCTTCGTGTACAAAATTATCCGCTCCAGTTGCAGTAGCGAGTCACCGCTTCCCCTAGGCTGCATGAGAGTCGCGTGCAAAAGCCTCGCCAAGTGCTCGACCGGGTCCGCGTTCTGGTTGTATGTACTAATGGTAGCACGCCACTGATCAAGCAACAAATCGTGCACGGTTTTTCCCGGCGAGCCCAATGTAGGGCTGTCTGTGGACTTGGTTTCTGCCAACAGTAGCTTTTCCCGTACCCAGTCCAGGGCGCGCACTGCACCCGCGTTTTGTTCACCCTCCAGACCAAGCTGATGGCTCGTAGCGTCTCGGCCCTCCGAAGACCCCCGTAGGCGCACCCCGAGCATCGTTGCGACCGCGGGCAAATCGCCCCCGGCAGCTGCGGAATGCAGAGGTATCTCGCCGGCGGCACCGTCGGTGTGGTGCAGGAGAAAGGCAAACTTGTGGCACGAAAGATACAACTCCAAGCATTTTTCAAGGTGGGCAGGATGCGGATCTGCACTTTGCTCTCCGAGCCGAACTTTCGTGCTAATGTCACGTTTTAACATTTCCATCTCTTCCTCCCGCGTCGTGATCTGATGCGCGTTCAGGTATTTCTTCGGGATTGTCGCAACTGCGTAAGCTTCCCAGATGGTGTGACGGATTTCCCGAAAAAGCGTCGTGTGGCGCACCAGATTGTGCCACACCCACAGCAGGGCTGCTCGCTCGCTACCGGAGCCGCTGTCCAGAAGTCTGAATGGAAGATCTGGCCCCTGTTCGTAGCCTCTAAACGCATCATAGGTGTGTTGCAACGACGCCGGGTCGGCCAGAGCCGTGGCGTCTGTCGGGCCCTTGTTGTATGCCATCAAGTTCAGCAGCACGCGCAACCGCGTGCTGGGCTTCAGGCCGGAGACCCGGTAAAACGGTTCGTCAGGGTTGCCATCGCTCCTCCGGTTCGTCAGGTAAACTGGTTCGTCAGGGTTCCCCGCCGCGTGCAGCAAAAACGCAAACTGGCGACAGAGCCGGTGCGCCTCGAGGCAATTTCGCAAGTGTTCCCGGCTGGGCTCGCCGAGACGGAACACGGGACCGTCTTTGAGATGGGGCTCGAAACGTTTCATCTCCCGCGCCCGCACAACTTTCCGGTCATCGGCCCGGACCTTCTGCAGTATCCACTCGACTGTGGATGGCGCTGCCAGGCGGATCACACCCAACCGCGACGCGCCCCCCTCTGTCCGCGCGTAGAGCAGCGACTCCTCATTTCTGGCCAGGCACTTCTCGAGAGCGACCCCCGTTCTTTGCGGTAGGGCCGAGCTCGAGCCGCTCCTTGCCACTGCAGCAGTTGTCGTAGAAGCAGCAGCGCTTCTCGCCGGAGCCACTGCCGCGCAGCTTTCGTCCAGAACTCGCAATATAACGGAGCCCGCCTCCTCGCCACTGTTCCTGTATGGCGCGAGCACCATATTTGCAACCCCCTCGGCCTCGGCGCGGTCCTTTTCGCTGTAGCGCGCACTGTTAATCCAGGCGGAATACCGAGGATCTTCTTCACGGCCACGGGCAACATCGACCATAACTCCGGAACTAACTTGTGTGTGCGTCTTGAACAAGAGGGTCCGCTGCTCCTTGACCGACAACCAGTTTGCGATTAGCCGTAACTGCAGAGACCTCTCCAACACCTCCTCTCCGCCTGTTGCCCGTTGTGCGCGGTCGTCCCGCGCGCTTAGAACTTGCGAATCCCAGGCGACCTCGTGCGTGGCCAACTGCGCCGCGGCATGCAACACCGTCCGGCCGTCCCGCGCTCTGGTCAACAGTAGTTTGCGCATCTGGCCTGGGGTCAAAAAAGTAACAGCTAGCTGCCAGACGAAGTCCAGACGGGACGCACTTTCTGCAGACAGGACGTGATAGATCCGTCCGGAACGGGTGTCGAGATGCGCGTCCATTGCATCCAGCAGTAACGTCTTCCCAGATTTACTGTCACGCTGCAGCAGCAGGTGCGCCATGAATTGCTGCCGGGCGTCTGCTGCTGGTGCCTGTAGATCTGGGGTGTCGGGCCCTCGCCAACTCTCGAATTGCGCCGTTGCGGCAGAAACCTCACGACCGCCGGGGGTCGGAAGCCTGTGCGCGGTCTCGAAAAAATAGATTTTTTCTCCGCCCCCTGGATACCCGGCAGCAACGAGTGCGAGATTCCGGTACCAGGAATTCCACCGCTCGTTTAGACGATCTCGTACGTCGGCGTACTGCCAGTGTTATACCCCTCAAGATAGTTGTCCGGGTCATGCCAATGAACACTGAATCTATTTCGTCCGAGTCACGCCGAATGGTACACAGGACAGACACGCAGCCAAATAAAATTAAAAA